AAAAAAAAAAACCTTTTTTTTTTTTTAAATCCTTCTTCAATAATAACAAACATGCGTCTCTTTCCAAAACGGTTGAGTCTTCATATTCAAACAGAATCAAGAAAACTTAAAAAATCCATAAGTAAAAGATATCATGAAGTTTCATCCGATTCTGAACATGAACCTGATTCAGAAGAAGCAATTACAAGTGATGATTATGAAGAAGCTATTACACCTAGAGAATCACCATCAACAGCAAAAGTTGAATTACCTTTGGATTTCGCTGATAATTCAGGAAATTTTGTTAAAACCATGAATATTATTAAACGAGAATCCAAACGTTTAAGTACCATGATGATTAATGATGGAAATACCAACGATATTAATTCTTACCTTGATGATTCGAATAATAATAATGAAAGTTTAAGTCCAACTTTTGATCATCAACAATTTCCTTCATCAAATTCATCATTAGAATATTCAACCTGTCTCTTATACACATCTAGATGTGTATAAGAGACAGCGTTTAAGTACCATGATGATTAATGATGGAAATACCAACGATATTAATTCTTACCTTGATGATTCGAATAATAATAATGAAAGTTTAAGTCCAACTTTTGATCATCAACAATTTCCTTCATCAAATTCATCATTAGAATATTCAACTGAAGATTTTTATTCAGAATATTTCTCTGAAAAGAATGCAAAAGATCGAGCTATTTATTTCGCTTGTAGAATAAAAAAACAATTACCAACAATTTTTTCTGGTATACAATTAAATATATCAAAAGAATGTCCTGAATCAATTCCTGAAATATCTCCTTTTGATATAACGAAAATGGTTGCGGATCGTTTATTTACTTTAACTTATATAAATGAAATGATGCCTTCATTTTCTCGTGAACGTACAAAAATTTTAGAAAAACTTGATATGAAATTATCAAAACAAGGAGATTCTAAATTATCTCAAAAAATTGGTGGACGAGAAGCTTTTTTTGCTTTTCGGTATACTTTGGATCATTATTTTAAACATAATATTTTACCTTCACAAAAAACATTAATGGTTGAAAGAGCAAGAAAGATTATACAACAATGTATTGAAAGTGAAGAAAAATTAAGTGATAGAGAACGTGAATGTATGTATTGTTTTCATCGTTTGATGAGTGGAATGAATTGGGATAATGATGATATGGATCCAAGTGTATGTGGTTTAAATGATTAAACGTAAACGTAATTTATTATTATTTATAAAGTATATATAAAGTTTATATAAAGTGTGTTGATAGTTTATTTTTTACTGTTTTATTTTTAGTGTTTAGTATTTTTTGTAGATAGTTAAATCATTTTCTTTCTTTTTTTAATAAATAATTATATAAAGTTTTTTACTTCAAATCACCGGGGGTGAGTATCACCGTTAGCCAGAATTATCAAATTTTACTGGCATTCTATTTTTTTAATGCTGGTCGATCATCATAATTTCAGTCATCGGTGATCATCACCCCCGGTGATAGTTAGAAAAATTCTTATATAAATATATAATTTGAATAATATATATATTGAACTTTTTCTTTTTTTTTTTCCTTTTCTTTTTCCTCCTCCCCTTCTTTTTTTCTTCTTTTTTTCTTCTTCTTCTTCTTTTTCTCTTCTTTTAGATCTAAAAAAAAATTTTTTTTTTGATAAAAATCATAAATTCATGTATTATGACGACTTATTGACTATTTTGGTAATCAATAATATATAATTGTTCAAAAATCATCGGGACTATAAACCGAAAATAGAAAGAAAGAAAGTGTATCAAAACCAAAATTATTTAAAAAAATTTCATTTATGAATAAAATTGAAAAAAATAACTTATTTTCTCGGAAGATGATTATCATTAAAATTATTAATGTAATTTACCAAATTAAGGAGTGATTTGTAAAAACAACCTTTTTTATTATTACAATGAGAAGGAAAATTATTATTACCTAAATCAAATAATTCATTAACACAATGAAATTTTTTTTTTTTTTTTCTACGCAAAATAAATAAAATAAATAAAATAATTATACCGTATTGCCGAGACCTTACCTTAAAGTAAAGTGAGGTAACTGACCATGTGGAAATGGTAGTTACTTTCATTACATAAGCTTAAAAAAAAAAAAAAGTTTGTGACGCAGCAATTTCATACAAATAACTTAACATACAATTAACTTAACATACAAATAACATACAACATTTATCATAACATTTATCATAACTGACATTTATCATAAACATTTATCATAAACATTTATTATAACATTTATTATTATCATATCCTATATCAAGTTAGTAAACTTGAAAAAACGGGTAAAAAAATACTGATTTTAGGAATTTCATGTTTAGCCAAAATTGGTTAATAATGTATGTATAACATCGATGTATCGATTGATGTATGTATAAACAACCAAGATTTTTTCAGAACTACAAATTTCAAACGATCAACATTTCAAAGCAATGACTAAAAGAATACCGAAACAAGAAAAATCCCGACAACGTGTAATTGATTAACATATTGTGGCTTTTTCTTTTCTTTTCTTTTTTTTTTTATCACTTTTTATCACTTTTTATCACTTTTACCTTTTTTATTATTTTAATGAGAGGAGGGACTTCAAATATCATTGACAATGAAAAAGTATGCTATCTGACTATGAAATTACTTGAATGAAAATATTCCAAACCAATCATGATCTATAAACTCTGATTCAACACGAAATAGGTGAAATATTCTCCCCTAGAATATGTTAAAAGGGGAAATTTACGTAATAATCATGTATGTTGTTGGTCTGTTTGGTCTTTGAAATATAGTTATACTCTTTTCAACTATTGGTTAAAATTATTGGCTGTAAAAAAAATGTAATGTCGATTATAAGGGGAGTGATTACTCAGTGATTACTCATTACGTAATGTATCCTTATTATAAATACTCTTTTTGGTTATTGGCTAAAAAATAATGATTGTAAATTTCCCCAGTTTTTTTACATTTTTCGATTTTGTAATTTTTTTGGCGTGAATCTATTTAGATAGAAACATAAACAAAAACTTTATTTATTTTTTATAGAAAAAAGTATTATTTTAAATGATGTCCAAATTTGGTAATAAAAACTTATCTATTATAATGAATTCTTTATAGAAAACCTTTCAATCATTTTTTAAATCATTTAGATTCATAGAAAGGAAACTACCGAAAGATTCTTGTACAGTTTATCGGAACCGTCGCCTCTTTTGGTTTTTCAAGTTAAGGTTCTTGTTTTTTTTTAAATAAAAGAGAAATGATTATCTTTACTTGAAATAATATCAATAATATCCTGAAACATATTTCACATGTAATTTATAAAACTTAAATAAATGAGAATATATTTAGTTTATCAAATAGTTATATAATTTGGTCGTTTCATTTGTCTTACAAGATGTTATATCTCAAAAGAATTTTCCCCCAAAAAAAGTGTTCAAAATAAACAAAAACTTATTTTTAATCTTTTTTAAGCCACTTTTATTGGTTTAAAACAGCCTGTATTGAAAAATTCAAATTTTGAAGTATCGATGCCTTTTTTTTCTATTAAAAACACTATATTAAGAAACATTACATGGAAACATGAAACATTACATGGCGGAAACATTACATGGTGGGAACATTACATGAGAACATTACAGTATTACAAGGTGAAAAGACTGTCATCATTTTTGAACACAATTTTGACAGTTCAAAGTACACATTACCGCACAAACCTTACAGTTACTATATGATTATATGATTTTACCTTATTTGCATCACAACATCACAAAGGTCAAAGCACATAGATTTTTTATTTGTTTAGCAAATATTTATTATTATTACAATATCCGATATATTCGGATGATCAGGTAAATTTTCAGGTAAATATTATATAAAAAATTGAAGTACCAATTGCTTTTTGATAATATAATTATTATTTACGAAATAAGTATACGTATATATACATAATTAAAATAGTAAATACCTTATAATAAAATATATTAGAATATTATTAGAATATTATTATAATATAAAACCTAATTAAAACATAATATAAAAGCTAGTTCTTAATTATTAAACCTAGTCCTTAATTTTTAAAATCTTAATTAATTAATAAAATCAAATGATTCTTCAGGATATAATCTTAAAAAAATTTCCGTATTTAACTTAAGAAAATTCGGATTATCCGAATAATTTGCTAATATATCTTTATAACCTTTTGAATTTCTAACATATTGAATATTTTCTACTATAAATCTTATAATATGTTCTTTTAAATCTGTCCATTTCCAAGCATATTTAAATAACATTTCTGCTGCATTGTTTATATTTAATCTATCAAAGATATGATATTTTACTACTCTTTTCAAATCATCTAAAAGATATTTATCAGATAATCTAAATAAATTCCATAAATTATTAAAATATTTAATAAAACTTTCTTTCTCATTAATAACAAGTTCTTCAGTATAAAAAAATAATATCATTGAAAGTACAGTATCATAATTAAAATCTGTAATTTCAATCACATATTTAATATTTGATTCTTTATCTTCTTCTTCTTGATCTTTTGTTTCTTTCCAATTACCATTAAACATCAATTTAAAATGATCCGATTTTAATATAAGAATTGAACTTTTTACGTATAACCTTTTACCTTGAATTATAAACATGACATCCGCTTGATTTTGATTAGGATTTTTTAATTCATTAATTAAATCAGAAATCAAATTCTTTGGAACATTTTTTGATCGAATAGATCTTTCAATATTTGTTGCACCAAGGTGAAAAGGATATAACTTTACACCAAAAATCATGTTATCAACTAAGGTTTTTCTTGGAGCTTTCATACTATAACCTCTATAACCTCTACCATCTAAGAGAAAATAAATTAGATTAGATATACTGTATAATATTTGTGCGACTGGACTGACTATACCCAGTATATAAAACACGAAAACACGTACAGACGGTACAGTAATAAAAGTGTAATCAATATTTACCTTCAATGATTTTAATATTTTTTGCGCCAAATCTAAGAATTTCATTACTATAAAGAGATTTTGTATACATAACAATGGAAGAAATATCGTAACAAAATAAGATATTTTCGTTATTTTCGTTACTATCGTTACTTCCAGATTTTGCAAGCAAATTCAAAACGAAAACGTTTTTATCATTATCATCATACTGTATTTAGAAATAATTATTAAAAAATTTAATAAGATTTTAAATATTATAATGGGACTTTCTTTTTTTAACTTACCGGGTGAAAAGTTAAATGCCATTCTATCGATGTTAAATAAGGTGGAAAATTAACAGGTTGCTTGATATGTAAAACATTATTCAAAGCAAAACCAAAAGAATGAAGGTTTTGATGATTTTGAAAATGATTTTGAAAATTCATTTTTTATGAAGTAGCTGGTGATTTTTTATGAAGTAGCTGGTGAATTTTTATGAAGTAGTTGGTGAATTTTTATGAAATAGCTGGTGATTTTTTATGAAGTAGCTGGTGAATTTTTATGAAGTAGTTGGTGAATTTTTATGAAATAGCTGGTGATTTTTTATGAAGTAGCTGGTGAATTTTTATGAAGTAGTTGGTGAATTTTTATGAAATAGCTGGTGAAACGAGAGAGAGAGCAAGTAATTATATTAAAAAGAATGTGTAATTATATTAAAGAGAGAGAAGTAAAGAACGTAAAGATATAAAGAATATGTATATATGAGAAGATTTTTTAAAAAGATTTTCCTAATAATTTTTTATAAAATAGCTGGTGAAAAGAGAGAGAGAAAAGTAATTATATTAAAAAAGAACGTAAAAGTACAGTATTAGAACGTAAAGAACGTAAAGTGTAAAGATTAAAAGAATGTAAAGATATTATATGAGAAGATTTTTATGAGATACTTTTTTTGAAAAAGTCAAAATTTCAAAGGTATATATATACTTTTTGATTTTAGACTTTTTGTTATGATGACTATTACGAATTTTGAGTCAAATCTTCAAATAACAAAATATGAGTCAGAATCATTCAAATCATAAAGTTCAATAAATGTTCATAATTATATTTTATTAAAAATAATAATATAATGACAAAAAAAAAAAAAAATAAAACCCCCCAAATTATTAATTAGATAAAATTATTTTATGTAATAATATATATACGTAATTTTTTTTTTAAAAAAGAAATAAAAAGATAAAAGAAAATATAATATGATATATATATATATATATAAGATTATTAATATAGATTATATAGATTATAAAATTTTAACCCAACAATAATTCTTCAAGTAATTCATGATACATTGGATAATCCGATTTTGATGCAACTATTTGTCTAAAACCTTTTGTTTTTCTAATCTTTACAAAATGTTGAATATTATAATTTTTAATCAATTCTTTTAAATCGGGCCATTTCCAAGCATATTTAAATAACATTTCAGCTGCATTCCTTTCATTTAATAAATTATTAATAATATGAATTTTAATCCTATGTCTCAAATCATCCACAAAATATTTATCAGAAATACTAAATAAATTCCATATATTATCCAAACTATAATTTTTAAAATCCGCTTCATCAGTATATAAAAAATGTAACATTGCAATTACTGTCTCATAATTAAAATCCGTAATTTCAATCTCATATTTATATCGATTCTCATTAATTTCGTTTTTCGTGTTTGTTGTTGAAGATCTTTGAGATCTTTGTTTATTATTACATTCCATCCATTCACCTTCAAACATTGCCTCAAAATAATCTGATCTCATTGCAAGAATCGAACTATTTGCATAAATAGCTCGACCTTGAACTTTAAATTTAACATCTCCTCGATCAGGTTTATTCAATTCATTAGACCAAGCATTAACTAAATTTTCTGCTACTTGTTTGGTTCCAAAAGTAGTTTTTGGAGGAATTTTTGTGAATCTAACTTCACTAAATTGTACATTAATAATTATATTATTAAGTAGCGTGGATCTTGGACGGTTGTAAACAAGAACTATTACCAATAATAAGATAATATTAAAAGATCAAAAAAAAAATAAAAAAAAAAAATGTAAAAAAAAAAATGAAAAAATAAAGAGTGAAAAATAATATAAAAAGGGTTCAATATAATTGATATTTAGGTTAAATTTATAATTTTAAATTACTTTTTTTTTTTTTTACTACTTACAGAGTCCGGATTTAACAAATATCTTATCATTTGTAGAGACTTCATGAATAATATCACCTGAAGGAGTTTTCAAAATAACTTTTAAAGGCAAGAAAGTGTCCGTAAAATGTTTTGATTCTTCGTCTTTGTTAAGTATTGTGCAAAGAAGAATTTGATAATTTTTTGGATCGCTCGTATACCTGTCTCTTATACACATCTAGATGTGTATAAGAGACAGAGTTGATGTAGCAAAAGGTGGAGAGTATACTCTTTCTGTTAATTTTGATACATTCTCAAGTTTATATTCAAAAGAACAATAACCTGCTCGATAACTCATATTTAAAACCGAATTGTTAAAAAGGATTTAATTTATTTAATTTGTAAAAAAAAAAAAAATAATAATGAAAAAAAATAATGAAAAAAATAAAAAGTGAATTTAAAGGGACAATTAAAAAAAAAAATTTTTTTTTTTTTCAACTTTTTTTCCTTTTTATTGATAAATTATTCTTGTTTATTATGTTTACAAATTATTTTTAAGAAAAACAGGTTAATTATAGAAAAAAATATAACAAAAGGTGGGTATTATTTATAAGAATTCTCACAATCCTCCGAGTTACACGGGGACAGAACCAATCTCAACTCCGGAACTTTATAAATTCAGGTATTTTTTAACAAAATATTATAAATTATACAATGTGATAAATAAATATTGTTTAAATTGTCTAAGCATTTTAATTTTTTATCTCGTGATAAAATCCTGAATGTAAACTTGATTGAATAATAATAATATTATTCAGGCACGAGTTTCAGGCACGATTTTGCGTGTCTTTTAAGGATCTTTCAATGAAATATTAACTAGGAAGTTGATTTAATAAAGCTAAAAAATCTTATCAATCAATCTAACTTTTTTTTTAATGACACGTACCTCAAAACATTTTTTGAAGTAAAATGTATCGATCTTATGAATCGGGTACAAACTTTACAAATGCAGCTTCGGTTTTGTTTATATTTTGAAAGTAATAAAAATAATAATTCATAATAACCTTTTATTTAAAATACCCAAAAGGTGAATTACCCAAAAAGTAAAATTATTCAAAAGGAATTGTTTAATTGACAAAGTTTGAGTGTTTTGACTCGTTTGACTGATTGACTCCCCCAAAATAATTTTTAAGTTTATTATGAAGTATTATTTATTTATATTTTTTATATATATAGTAAATCACATTAATCACATTGATCGAAATGACGATAAACAGGACTGACTCCTGATGACTCAGTCAAAGTTATTACTATATATATATTATGTATGATGTATTATATTATTATTTTTAAATCAAACTGAAATTTCTGAAATTCCTGAAAATCCTTTTTTTTATTATTTATATCATTTATTATTTATATCATTTATATAATTTTATATATATTTTAAAATATAATTAAAAAGTTTTTTTTTTTTTATTTATAAATACGATACTATACTTATTATTAATTTACTTTCTACTATAATTAATTTTTTTTTTTTTTAAAAAAAAAAAGATAATAATAATAATAACAATGTTCTAATTATTAATGTTTCACGATAAAAATGTATACACTTAATTTAATTTTGAAATTTCTTGTTCAATATGATCTTGATTTTCCTCAATATTTACTCTACAATAAATCAAAAGTTAATTATATTTATGACAAAAATGATAATTAATTAAAAAAAAAATTTTACCTTTGGGAAGTTACTTCATGACTTGATTGAGAACTATCCCCATGACTTGCTCTTACGGTAGATTCATCATCCCATTTGTTATTAAATTCATCATCATCATCATCATGTTCATCCCCAATATCGAATATAGCAGATCCACTATCATTATGTAACCTGTCGCTCTCAGATCTGAATTTCACATTATCATACCCCATATTTTCAGCTGCTCGGAGTGTGTTTTCTAATTCATAAGGATCTTCTTGTGTTAATTCCTCACTCATCGCAAATGTAAAAAAATGACGTTAAGGGATATTTTTTTTTAAAAAAAAAAAAAAATTGTAAAAAACAACAATTATTAAACCATTGTTCAAATTTTAAAGGATATCTCTTATTATTTCGTGTGGGTCTCCAAATAATAAGTATTACGCAAAATACAATTAAATATAAAATATTTAACCATCCATCTAAAAGAAACCATCTCCAACGCCAATATGTCGGTATCCAATCAGGATCTTCTCGACGAAGGTAATTAATCATGTTTATGAAAAAGAAAACCCCAAGAACAGCGACTGAAAATACAAGTAATCTATATAATCGTTTATACATTAAAGATTTCACGGTTTGTTTACGGATTTCAAGCGTTTGAAGTGTGTTGGTTATTGATTGAAGTGTCCAAATATAGAATGCTGTCATTGTGAGGGCAAGAGGAAAAATGACTAGAAAAATAAGAGGGTTCGCATTTTCTGGATCTAAAAGCATTGTACCAGCTGAATAAATTATGCCAAATAAGAAATGTGTAGCTGCTAATGCACGACATTTATTCATCGTGCTTCCAAGTGTAGGTCTAAAAATTGTGTTTTGTTAGAAATATAAATAAAGAGATTTTAACCGATTTAAAGTTAAAATTCGCCTACTTTACAACTCCATAGCCCATGCATACAATCAATAGCATAAAAAATGAAATGGAATTTCTTCCAGCATTGAGAATAGCGACCACAATAATAAGGAATGTTGCTAGAAGAAATAAATCCATCATAATTAAAATATATATATATATATTTTTTAAAAATATCTTTCATTATATAAACCTACAAGAATGTCCATATGAATTATAATTTTCCCAATATCCCCAATTGAAAGCCATCTCCAACATGAGAAACAGGATGACTCCGGATATATAATTCTAATATAAAATCAAAACTTTAAAATAAACTTAAATATCAAATTTGTACTTTTGATTATATTAAATTCATTTAATACCTGAACAGGTAAAATATCATGCCGGTGAATTATACTCAAAGTCATCCATACGATACCGATTACCAAATATATTAATGATAAAGCTCCATAAAACTTGAATTTAAAAATAAAAAAAAAAAACTTTAAATTAGAAAACAAAAAAAAAACATTTCTTTGAATGATTTTGAAAATCGAAGACACTTGCTGGTAATTTTGGATATTCTGAAGCAGGTAATTCTCCATAAGGATTTTGCCAATCAATCGTAACAAAATATTGGGTATCATCATTATTAACAGGACTAGTAGCAACACAATAAAACGCTGTCTTGTTAATTGGATAATTAAATGTATATGTATCCTTTGATTTAAGGTTAAAGAAATGAGTAACAATGGATGTTGTTTCATTAATGGGGACAATAAAATTATTTTCCTGTGACTTTGAACAAAAATTCAAATCAATAGCAGCTTGATCACAAATGAGAATTTCCTGTATAATGTTATTGATATTTTTTGGATTAATAAATTATTATAAAAAAATTAAAATAATTTGAATGCGATACTAACCTTCCCATCTTCCAATTTATGACCTATTTTATAATAATCTTTCCATTCAGCTACAACTGCTGCGACATTTCCAGTTGTTACTTTATTATCTGGATTCAATTTTACTATGAAATTTTTTTTAAAATAAAATTTATATGTAAGTTATTATGACAGAATAATTTTGATTAATAGTATACATTACTCACGTGAAATAACGGAATTTTTCCCTCCAACAATTGCCGATTTTTCAAACATCAACGAGCATTTTTGATCTAAAGGATTAGTCTAATAAAGACATGGATAAAATATCTTATGAGAAAAAAAAAAAAATTCCGTCGTAAAAGGATAAAGATCATGATAAATATATCTAACCAAAGAATCTTCATTGGCACTTATACAAGTTATCCAGACCACAAAAAGGGTCAACAGTGACCACGATGTTAACCGGACCATTGAAAATTATTTTATTTGGTAAGGAAAAAAAAAATTTTTTTTTTTTTTTTAAGTTAAAATAAGAATGTGCGTTTGAGAAATCAAACTACAAATTAATACTTCATTTTATATCTAATTCCGGATGTTCCGGTAAACATATCCGAAGATAGAAATCTGATACTCAGCCTGCATATTTATCACGTGATTCCTGGAACTTATTAGCTTATAAGTGGACTGGCAATAAATTTAAACACATAAATATTTACAATATACAGTGGCAATAATTGATTGGATCGCATAGTATAGTTTATCAATTATATATTATCAAATGAAGAATAATTAAGAATCAAAAAATTCACCAAATGTTAAATTCTGATTTACGTATAAAAAAAACATCAGCTGTAATAATAACCACAACAACAAATATTGCTATTTCAAATTTAGATTTTCTTCCAGTCCATTTTGCAATTTTCAATTTTTTCTTTTTCTTCCTCGTTTTATGACGATATTGTCGAGATATCAACAAATGTTTATCCTTAAGTCGTTTCAATGCTGCACGCAAATCTTTCAGGTCAGATGTGTAAACAATTCCAGTAATAGTAACCGTCACTTCTTTGTAAAAATTCATTTTAATCATCAATAATAAGATTCCATTATTATTATTATTATTATAGAATAACTTACCAGCAGATATAGGAAACTAATTATGATAAAGAAAATGAATATTAGTTAAATTATTTTTTAATTCGAAAATATATTATTTTAAAAAGAATTTACATTCACTGTTGGGTAGAGAATTATTTTGTATTTGTGATCTAAAAATTTTATTAATGATCTTTGACACTTTAATTTCCATATTCTCGGCTTTAAAACAATTCTAATAGGAATTGTAATTCGTTCAAATATAATCATTTTCAAATCTCAAAAAAAAAAGTGAATAATGGATAAAGGGAGAAATTGTACCCTTTTTACTTTTTATACTGTCGGTCTGCACAATATCAGAGACTAAAGAACTGCGTAGATTATGCAGATTGTAGATCAGAGAAGTAAAATGGAGGATTGATCAAAAAACTAGTCCCTTAAATTAATTATGATAAAAATACCCAGAGTTGTACCTTGGACATCTCTTGAAGAATTTCAACAAGTTCATCAATGGCTTTATGCAGAGTCTCCGAACCAACGTGAAATTGGAGTTAAAAGGGTACCATTATGTTTAGTATTTCTTAAATAAAGTAAATTTTTCTAAAATTATTATTTACAGGTTAAAGCTTGGTCAAGTCGCGGAAAAGTTCCTCATGCTGTTGTTAGCACAGCTGCATTTGTTGAAGTATCGTTAAGAGATGAATTTAGTTACGGAAATATTTCAAATCATGAATTGAGATTATTATATTCCATGGTATTTATCAGGTATGTATTAGTATTTTCGGTTTTTCGAATATTTTTCTTTTTTTGATCAAAATTTCATTTATTTTTTAGATTTGTGAACGGAATGGTCGATCCATTTCAACAAGGAACATTCGCCTTATCAATATCTTCCATCGCAGTTAAACTAAATATGCCATTATGGTTTGTTGAAATGCGTCATGCGGGAACTCACGAACATCTTCCAAGTCTACAAATTTTACGAAACGGATGTAAACAGGTATCATAAAATATAGTTATTGGATGGATAAAATATCGGTCACTCCGTAGGTGACTGATAGGTTACCCGCCCATTCAATAACTGAATTATTATTTGATTATATTATTTATAAGAGAACTAATTTATCATTTTATTTAGGCGTTGCAATGGTTAAACGAAAGTTATTGGTCAACTCAAAAGCCGTTACCATCAGCACAAGTTAATAAAATACGTTCTTTGATATTACAATACAAAGAACTTCGTAAGGAAGATATAAATGGAAATAATAATCGCGATTCTTCTAGAAAGATTATAGGGAAAATCATGGAATTAGTTAGCGAAGAATACATAAGTGAATCGATTATTCCTATTTTGTTGGAACCGGGATTATTGGTTCCCATGGCAAAAAAAAAACGTGCATTGGCTCAAGATTTAAGTTTGCTTCCAGAATCAAAAAAAATATGGGATGTGATGTTACAAACATTTGATAAAGAATGGCATACTTTTGGTAATGAATTAATATTGAAGATATTAGAAATCTTGAATAAAGATGATGTTAGTATTAAATCAGATATGAATAACCAAGAAGTACAATCAACACATACAAGTTCTAGCTATCTTATAACTTTATCCGCATGGGTTAAACATATTCTCTATATCTATTATAATGGAAAGTCATTTACTAATTTAGATGTTAATAATATATTGGAATTCTGTTTAAGGAAACCAAGTACAAATACTCAATTGATATTACAAACGATGATGGAATGTGATGAAGAATTAAAAACAAGTGTTAGTCCATTTGTAAATTATATAAACAAAAAGCTTCATTCTGAGGATATTATACATAATATTGATGAAATACCTAAAATTACTGATGATGATATGAATGTTGAAATAAATAAACTAAAATATGAATTGGATAAAATTAATAAATTGATTAAGGTAATTAATATTTTTCATCTGACTTTTACATATATATATATACATTTTTTAATAATTAAAACTCGCCTTCAAAGGAAGAAGTATCAGTAGTATCAGAAAATAATCGCGTATCATCTTCAAATGAGGATTCAGCTTGGAAAATGTATGATTATAATGAATGGAAACCTTGTGCTTTAGGTTGTTTACCTAATGGTCAAGTACCTTGTTTAGATTTACCATTGGAATTAGATGGTCCTAGCACCGTTATTAAAAGTTCTACGTGATTATAATACATGTCCTTATTTAAGAAAAACAATGCGGATATAATATTTGTGGGGGAACACTATATTGTGTGATATTATTATTATTTTATTGCCAATTAGAAGATATGTAGACCTTCCAAATAAATGAAAAAGTTTTTAAGTTTTAATATCATTTTAATAATAATGTTATTAGCAGATATAATTCGGAGGAGTACTTTAACTCTTAGTATTTATCATGGTGATTTATCTCTGTAAAATAAAAAAGAAACTCTGAACATAGAATTAAAGAAAACTTTATTTATATATAATGTAAATACAGATATTTTTATCTATGAAAAAGCTAATATCAAATTTCTATTTATTCTAATAATTTGAATACATTTTTTTTTTTACAAATGCGAAATTAATTAGATTCTATAAATGAATTTTTTTTTTAAATTCTTCTTCCTGCATGGTTATATACAGCAATAACATTTATTAATTTTTCAGCATTTTTTATTTCTTCAAGACTTATAACTTCACACCAACGTAATTCTAGGAAACTTAACGATTTCCTTTCATTGGCATATTCTGTAATAACTTTAAGATGTTCATCAGTTGCACTTCTATAAAAACCTAAACAACTTAGGTTATTTTTACAATTCTTAAGGAATTCACTTAAAGATTCTGCCGTAAATTTCCAATATGCAAAGATATTTAATTGATACAAAGGTTCAGGAATAATATTTCCCATTGAAGGAAAGAAATCATCAACATCATAATCATCATCACTTGCAGAATTAATAGTCAGACTTTCGAGTTTCTTACATGACTTCAACACATAATGTAAATTCGACACATCTTTTCTCACAATTGGAACATCAAGATATTCCAAATTTGGACAATTACTTGCTATAGTTCTAATAACACTATATTGATCAGATTGATTAATCTCCCAAGATAATGTAAGTTCTTGTAGACTAGAACCATTTATCAGGATCATCGGAATAATCATACCAACTGTTGGTTTACAATGTGTAAAGCTTAACTTTCGAAGTCTTGGAAAATAACAAGATGTCAATCCTTCAATATCATTTTCCGGAAATGATGCCCAATTATGAAATCTCAATATCTCCAAATTTGTAAATGACTTGAGCACACTTAAAGTACCTCCATTTTGCCTATGACAGTTATCTTTTAATACAACACATCTTAGTGATATACTCAAATTATCAATGCTAATCGCATCATTTAAATGTGGCCATCTTTTTGTGACTGTTAATTGTTTTAAATTCTTTTGAGCTTTTAGAAATTTTGATACTTCTCTATCATTAATCCAAGAACAATCAATATCTAATCGATTTAAATTAATACAAAATTCCGAAGCAAATAATAAATTTTTTGGTACACAATTATCACAAATTAAATATCTTAACTTTGGTAAACATTTTTTAGCAGCTGAACTATGTTTTATTAAACATACATAATCTCCTTTTCGATGTGTTACTGTTGGAATAGAAAGTTCTGAAAGACGTTTTGCTTTACTCATAATTCTTTCAATAAGCATATCCAAAATAGTAGATGTTGGATTTAAGTAAATTTCTTTTTCTTTATCAATATATACGATTAAATAATTTTCATCACACCAAGTTTTAACCGAATCATATAATGTTGGATATTGAAGTTCATGAATATAATGCATGTAATTAAAGGTTGGTTTCTTTAAAGCTTCCAAAGGAAAACCATCAAACAATCTTAACTTTCCTTTAGATGTTCTATCAAGACACCTAATAAAAGTAGTAATTAAACTTGATCTACTCTCTTTAAATGGTGCACGCCACAGGATTGGGGTTGTAAGACTACACCATGTTCGATTTACGAACATACAAGAATATAATGATTTTCTATCGTATCGAATATAATCAAGAATTGGACACATAGTTTCCGGTAACATGAAAATTAATGAAGTCATTTTTTTACTGATATGTTAAAAAATAGAAAAGGTAAAAAGTTGAAATAAAATAATATATATGTGTGTATATATATATATATTTTTTACTCGAAAATTTTGCAAAGAGACGAAAGAAGTTTAAAAAAGAGAGGAAAGTTTAAGAAAGTTTTAAAAAAGATAGGAAAGTAAAAAAAAAGACGGAAGCTTAGAAAAGAAACGGAAAGCTTACTCCTTACATTTTTATATATGTAAAATAACAAGCCTAGTGTCAAACTAAGTCACGAAACATACGAATTTATCAGGCTATGTTATTGCGATTGTACACCTAAAATGGTAATACCGATCGATAATCAAGAAAAAATTTTTTTTTTTTTTATGATGATTTTTACAATTCCTATAAAGGGAATAAAAGCACGTTAAAAAAAAAAAAAAAAATGGATACTTCAAAATCTAAACCAAATAGATCAAAAAATAAATCAAAATCCAAAAAAAAGCAGTCAACTATTGATAAAATTAATTCAATAACAACATCATCTAATTCTTCAAATAAATCATTAATTGATAAGAAAAAATCATCTCAAAATAAAAATATTCCTTCAAAAGAATTTATAACACAAACTTCCACCTCAATTTTATTAGGATTTCCTGATGGTAATATATCAACAAAAGAAGATAATGATCCTTATATAACAAAAATTGGTGGAAAACCGAATTGGTTAATCGAATCATATCCTTTATCACACGATTTTATTATTTGTAAAAATTGTGATAAAGATATGTTTTTATTGTTTCAAGGTTATGTACCTTTGGATGATTCCATTTATGATAGGGTGATATATATCTTTGGATGTAATCAGCAAAAATGCGTTAATAAAAGTGGAAGGTAAAGAAATTTTTATAAAATTTTGTCTTTTTTTTTTCTTTGAAAATTTTTAATATTTAAATTTATTTGAATCGATAAGTTTTCGTGTATTTCGAGCACATCGAAAAGATGAAGAATATGAAAGATATCAACAAGAACGGGCAAATAAACATCAATCAAGAGACAACAGTAATAATTCTTCAATCCGATCATCGAATGTTTGTTAATTTATTTTTATTTTATAATTTGTTTTATTATTTATTATAAAAAAAAATCCTAATTTATTACTTTAATCAGGTTATAAATGGAGGATTGGGTAACATGTTATTCGGAGTTGCAGATTTTGATAATATAGATGAAATGGATGATATGCAGGTTATTATTTAATGTGAAAAGGGGATAAATTAATTAATTTATTAAAGTCGAGAGAGATATATTATTATATTTAAATAATGTTTTGTCTTTTAATAACAAAGATTTCGGAGAATGATATTATATCAAGTAAAGAGGAACAAGTTGACGAAGACGAAGATGATCATGATGATGATCATGATGACGATGAATGGCCTGAACTAGGTATTAATAATAAAATGTCAAGTACTACAACGTGGCAATCTTCATGGAGTCAGATTATTTCTGATGCAGAAAAAGCACGAAATGAAAAGGATCAAATTAAAGATCAAGTTTCAAGTAAACATGATAATGATGATAATATGTCACAAATAAGTGTTGATATGTCTACGTTAACATTGAATAGTAAGTTATAATATATTCCAACGTAATTGATCATAGTTTAATTATAATATTAATTTTATTTATACACGGAATTTCAGCATGTTGGCCCGAGAATATTAAATCATTTCCAGCACAATACTTATATATTACTGAAGAAGTATTGAAAGAAAAAAATGATGATATTCCTGCAAATTATTTGTCATATGAAGAAGTCGAAGACAATTTTGATTGGATTGGAGAGAAATATGAAAAGCCAATCTTACCAAAAGGTTATGACAAAACCTTTAAAAAATTTTCTGATCGTGTAGCAGAATGGCCTGATCAGTGTGTGAGGTAAAAAATTTGGTGACTTTTTTTTTTAATCTATTTTTACTCTCGAATCTCATTACTCCCTATATCAATATTATTTAGGTATCAATTTGATGGACAACCGTTATTATATACACATAATGATGTAACTGCAAAACTCCTACTTGATAATTGTAATGATGAAATCACATCATCAAAATTACCAGTTTGTCATTGGTGTAAGTCAAGTCGAGTTTTTGAGTTACAATTAATGCCGAGTATGTTAACTACATTATCTACTAGTTCTTTTATTGAAGAAAATGAAATTAATTCTGATAAGAAAAATAAGAAAAATAAGAAAAATGATAATTCAATATTTAATCTTGGTATGGAATGGGGAACTATTATGGTATTTACTTGTAAGAATGATTGTGAGATGAATGATGTTGGATTTAATGAAGTTTCTTATTATGAAGAAGTTGTTTTGGTTCAAAATGAACAATAATTTCAAAGAGATTTTATGCAGTTAATTTTAAAGCATTACATTTATTATAAAAAAAATATATATATATAAGTTAAAACAAAAAAGTAACTTATAAATAAAATAATATTTATCACAAATTCGCAAATTTAGAAATTAACTCTTTTATTCAAAAAGCTAAAACTAATATATAAAGAAAATAAATATTATAATTTAGTCTAAATTATTACTATCTAGTATCAGAATTTGTAATACTACTTGTCTATTAAATTATAAATATTCCTTTAGTAAGAAAAAAAGAATCTATTAAGCTTTTATTTAAATGTTTATCAGAAATTTTTTAAAAAATAAATAAATAAATAAAATAAATAAATAAAATAAATAAATAAATAAAATAAATAAATAAATAAATAAATAAATATTAATATCTAATTTCTTGATTAATATTTCTTCTTTTTTCTTCCTCTCTAATTTCAAACATTACTTGTACAGCACAATATATACTGATAAAACTTAAGGAAAATTGGATAAGACCTTAAAGTATAAGAAAAATAAAATATTAGCAAAAAAAAAAAATAAAAATAAAAAAATATACATATATATAAAAAAATTTATTTATAAATAAATATATATATATATGTATATATAAATATTTATTTATACTAACCATGTAATGTTCCAAATAAATTACTTAATACTACTTTCATACCATCTAATCCGATAGCAAATCCAACTAAATTTGCAGCCCACATAAAAACTAAATTTAATGCGCCACCAATTGCACATACATGCCTATAATATGGTCTATCTCCAAACTGTTTTTATATCAAAAATATATATATATTAATAAAAGAATCTTTTTGAAAATAAATAAATATAAAAAGAAATTTTTATACTTACTTTCTTTTCAGTAAATATTTTAGTAGCTATAGTTTCGGGTAAAATAAATATCCAAATTAACCAGCCCCATGCTAATAATTTTAATGATATATCATGCCATAATGCAACAAATGTAAATACTATTAACATATTATATATTAAATATTTTGATCCTCCAAGTGGAATATAAATATATCTATAAAAATTGAAAAAGGTATTTAAAATAAATTTTAAACAAAAGATGAATTAAGTAATGTAAACTTACCTAATAATCCATCTATAAAAACTTCTGTGCCAACTTCTCCAAAATCCTGTTGTGGAGTAATTATTTAACATACATCTTAACATATTTTCTTGTACTTCAAATCCATCAGCCATTGCCCAAAATCTAAAAAATCTCCATATAATTAACAACTAGAAAGAAAAAAATAATAATTTAATATTTGGTTTATTATTAATTTCAATACTTAATATTTATTTTGCCTTACTTTTAACCAGATATATTCTAGATTGAAAACTCCAATCATCCCTAATTCCAAAGGTGACAAATCATCCCATGCTCTTGATTTACTCATAGCTACAACATAAATAAAATGTAACATTACTTCCATTAAAAGCATTACTCCTAATAATCTAACTCCATAAATAAATGTTGACTTTATATCAAATTCCTTCGGATACCTTAACTTCAATATGAAAATAAATATTGTTAATAAAATTTGTTTATGATGTATGGTTTTTTTTGTTGACCTCAAATGGTGGAATTATCAATAGTAAAAATATCTGATTGAGTATTTACCTGAGAGATAAAATTATTAAAAGTAATGATTGGTCCTGCAAGATATAACGGTGTATATAACACATAACTTAAATAATTAATATAATTATAATCTTCTTTAAAACACGGAGTTATGATTCTATCTTTTTCTGTTAATGGTGCTTGATCTCTATCATTTTTCTAAATGAAGAAATATATATATATATATTCAATATTTATAATTTTGTAATAAACCGAAAGGAGTTGCAATGTCTCCTCGAAAAGAAAGAAATAAATAAAATAAAATAAAATAAATAATAAAATTTTTTAAACATTATTACATATGATTCTCCCAAGATTACCTCAGTCGAATCTGGTGAAGGGTGAAATAACCAATAATAATCCATATTAAACGATATTATTCGTAACGTACATATGTTGAATGTAATAGTCCATCGAGTTAATAATCCTACATTTGAATCCTAAAATTATAACAAAGAGAATAATGAGTAAGAGAATTTTTTTCTTAATAATATAATCAAATCTCCAAAAATTAACTTACTAAAAATGCAAGGTTTTCGTTAAACCATTCAAATTTATATCCATCATAATTTTCATTAATAAATAAAACTGCCAAATTAAACAGCCAAGTAACAATAGGATTCAATTTTGATCCTTTTAATGTTATTGGAATTAAAAAATTGAAACTTAAAATAATCAATATTTTAATTAATCCATTTCCAAAAAGAACATAAAGGAATATTAATGAAAATGTTAAGAAAAAATAAGTTCTACGAAGTGGTTGGGATGGTAATTTTGCCGGAGGATTTGGTACAAGAAAAATTCGATATAAATGTGAAAGGATTAAATAAGCTATTGAAGCCATAAACAAGGCTCCGTAATGATCTCGAAAAGAAGCGAATTGTGCATCACTGTTATCCTACGAAATAAATTAAAGAAACATTTCATTAGAGAGATCGTTTATTAAATAAAGTATAAAAATTAACTTACCACTTTACGTCCAAATAACCAACCTGGCTCCAATCTTCTAGAATATCTCATATAATTTGGGTTTGTTTCTAAAAAATTAGATCAATTAGATCATGATTTCCACTTAGCATAAACTTTTCACAAATACATACCTTTACTAATATCATATGCCATGTAAAAAGCGTATGCAAGAGAAAATGATATAATTACATAATAAATATAAAATTCCAATGTATTCCATAATGGAGGTTTTAATTTTGTAGGCTCCTTAACTTTCGTCGTTAATATATCAGAAGACGAAGATTGTTCTGAAGTTCCTAATGCTGTATAAATATGGTCACCATCATCTTCCTTTCCTTTTCCTTTTAGATTATTTAACGCGTACATAAATAATAAAGATATGGTTTTTATATTGTGAGAAATTAGATTATTCGAAACCAACTTGTTGAAAAGAAAAGAAAAAAAAAGGTTTCAAAAAAAGATTTACAGATAATTGTACAAAATTGCGTAATAAGAAAATTTTTTTAATATCATCCCAAATTAGGAAAATTCGATATTATACATGGGGCAACGTGGCAAAACCAAAATAAAGATCTTCAATTAATCATATAATAGTTTAGTTCATTTACTAGATGAATGAGAGGATTCGAAGAATTTGAATATTAAAAAGATTCATATTTGATCATTTTATTATATAAATATTATTACAATACAAGTCAATAAGTAAGTAAAGTATCTTATGAAAGTAAATACAATTGTAAAACAAATCAAAAATATAATAATATAATATATTATGAGTTATGACTACTATGTATAAAATAAGAAAAAAAAAAAAAAATTTGTGATTAAAATATTTACATTTTTGAGGATAAAAAATTTGAAATTTAAAATTTTTTGATTTGAAAAAAATACAGCATGTGGATGATAAATTGGGCTTCTAGTAAAGAAAAATAGGGATAAAAAAAAAAATAGTGTTCTTTTTTAATAAATATATATAATATATATATATACGCTGTATATATATATATGTGTGTGTGTGTACCAGAAACCCCAAAATTAACGAATATTCTTGCACTCCATTTCAATTAATTTATAACACTATTTCTGTAAGAAATGATGAGATAACAAAATACAAAACTAATAATGATCGCATTATAAATGCATCTTTGTCCCCATCGTCTAGTTTCCCGATCTTTCCCAAAGAAACAAAAAGGAATACCAATATACCATAAAGGCCATATTAAAAAACCAATAATATAAAGTTTTTTAGAGATAGGCCAAGGATTTTGAGGTTCAATTGGAACCAAATCATAAGGAGAGTCAAAAGTATCTAATTTTAAATTATCAATTGGATATGAAGGAGGCATATCAATGTTTACTTTATCGTAAGATGGAAGAGATTCTGATGATATATTAGCTGATAGATTTGGAAGCGGAGGAGAATTTGGGGAAAGGTATGCCGATGTTGGTAAAGAAATGTTTACTGAGGCTGTAGGATTATTATTATTATTATCTTCAGAATAAACTGGAGGTTCACCTCTAGTTGAATTAGTTGATTGATTATTAAGAGAAATTTGTTGGATTTGATCTTCAGGATTATTTATTGAATTAATTGTAATAGTAGTTGACATAATATTAAAATGTGCAGTGCGTAAAATAAATTTTTTAGAATAATATTTAAAATATTAAAATATTAAAATATTTCTTTCTTTTTTTNAAAAAAACTAAACAGAAACGAAAGATAAAATAAAATAAAAAAAAAAAGTTAAAAGATAGTGAGTTTATCTGTTTGTTTTTTTTTTAAAAATAATTTTTTAATTTTTGTTCTTCTCTTTTTTCGTAAATTAAAAAAAAAAAAGAGTATTTAGGTAAAAAAGTAAATCACATTTTTATATATTTATAAGTGAACAATATTTTTTTATTAATAAAAACAATGTGGAAGAAATAAATTCCATAATATTATTCTTTTATAAATAATAATCTATCCAAGTAAGTAGATAAAATAATACCTACGGGTATTGTTAATAGTATTGTTCTCATTTAAACTGCCGATTAATGCTTTTTTTATACAGATAAACTAATAAAAATTATTAAAATTATAATGTTTATCCCATATTGTTCCAAGTTGATTGAAGATCTTTAGTTGTTACACAGAGCAATATTTCCTTTTTATTTGTTGATGGAAAAAAGAGAACAATGTAAAGAAATAAAATTTTCAATTATTCTTTTTAACTTATTAGATGCGTATTTAGTTGTAACTCATGAAATCATTACTTTTATATGGTTTACTTTTGTTTTACAAAAACATATAATGGTTTTGTGTTTTATTTATATAGTTCCATTGATTTATGATAATTTCATTCATTATAACATTAACATTCGCGTCATTCAGCATTGCTGCGTTTAGTGGTTAAATATTTTCCCAAATAAAACCAAATATTATGTACTTATATTTAGTTATTATTTATTACCAATCCGTATCATAATTTACTTCTCTTACGAGTTACGTCTCATATAATTTAAAACTTTCGCAGTTTATATTTCTCGCAATATTTGTTATTCATTTATGCAAAATTTGAGATGTAAGGAGGTTCTCTCTTTTTAAATACGAATAGAACTCAATCATACATACAGTAAATAAGCAGTGAACATTCACCTGCATGGTAAGATAATGGTTTGAAAGTCCATTGTATTCTCGGATATTTTTTTTTAATTAATTTTCCTTTTTTAAACATATTTGAATTATTATAAGGAATCATGAACTGCGTGGTTTTACGATGTTGAAATCACACAAACCTCCATTCTTGAATATATTTATTGAAACTAGACAAAAGTGGAAACCTACAAAATTAACTCGAAAAGAAGGTTCAAGTCTAAATGAGTGGTGTATAGTAGTACATTGTACTTATATACTGGCTTCTATTTTTAACTATTTTAACACGTGAAAGAAAACCTCAAAAACGAACGTCACTCTAAGTTGCGTAACAGTTATTATGATAATCTTTTGTTTTTTTGTTTTTTTTTCCATATTTTTTTCAATTCTATAATCCACCGATCAAGACAGAAAGACCTTTAAAGTATATATATATATATATCTCTCATTCTTTTAAACTTTCTGAGCTTTTTTAGTTTTTGTGAAGCTCAAAAACTAAAAAAAAAAGCTATTCTCTTTCACAGCAAAAAAATCCAAAAATTAACCGTGAGAAAAATGCACGAATCTTTATCATTATCAATCGCCCTAATTAAAAAATACCTAGTGTTGAAATTTTAAGAAACTTCTCCTTCTTAAAGAGCAACTTAAAGGAATAACTAATATGTATATTTGGCAAAGCCTTGAAGACAAAGCTTATAACTGACATTAAAAATCGTAGCACCATGTGTTTAGACTTAATGAATGTTTAATAGTGATGTCTTCACGTCATGTGAAAAGCTCATATGTTTTAGCGAAATTTGTGAACATTAAAACATCAATCTTACATCATTTGCGTGATAGTAGTAGTAATTACTTTTTCAAATGTTAACGATGGGATTCCTTTATGAGTTGAACGATCATCTTTCTTTGAATTCATGTAATAATTAATATGAATTAAATCGTGAAATCAAGAGGGAATATGGAAAGGTGCAGATTATGAATTTAATCAATGAATTTGGCTGATAATTATTTGCAAAGTTGTAAATATTTATGTTCTATTTGTTTATTTGTTTATACTCTATTTATTTATGCTGGCAGTCACTGTACTTGAAAATGTAACTCACAAACTAAACATAAAGAATATCACATTATATCCCACCATCACCATTAAATTCAGCCAAAATAATTCAGGCATCAGATTTTACTAGAAGTCAGCACTCGTTATTATTCAGTGATATTCAAAATATTAGTTTTTTAAACAGAAAAGGATGCAGTTATGGAATAGGGAATAGAACAGTTTATGAAAGAGTGAATAGCAAAAGGTGAAGAAATGATCTCTTAAATTAGTTAAATATAATTAATTATGTTATAATCGAATAGCTGAAAAGTGAATCCACCTTATCGGATTATAAAAACTTATGAGATGATATTTTTGACATCACTCGTAAAGCTTAATCATTCGGTAGTTGGTTCTAGGAAACCATATCATCAATGGATAAAGATTCTACGCGCACGATGTCCTGCCAATGAGATAACCGAATATGCGCTTTACAGAATCCAGGCGTAATCTAAAAGACCAAAGCAGTGAAAGGGCTTAACAAGCAAGAGAATTTTTCGATATATGGCAAAGAAAACTGATTCTGAGCGATTTATTTCATGGTGAATATGAGCATATTATTAGAAGAATCATAGTATCATAATAAAAAAATAATTCATAGTTTACTAATTTAACTTTCTCCTCTTCAATGTTCTTGTTATCCATATCTAATGATTCCCTTCATAACAATTATATCAAAGATGCAAGGAAACTTTGGAGCTTTTCTTACGATATGAGATTCTGTATTCATTAGCTATTGCTGAAGAAGATTCAAATGACATTATGCACTTGCGTCATAAAGGATATAGATAGCAATGGTAAAAAATATGGGTTCACATCTGATAATAAGGTGTCTGTCTACATACATAATATGTCTTTCGTGAAACTAGAATTTTTAATTTTGGAAAAATTGAGTTCTCTGGGTGATTAGTATGGACTGAACGCAAAATTAACAAAATTTATGCGTCAGATTGTCAAGGATGCGGCTGATCGGGTTATTGGGTGATTTTCTTAGAGAACTTATATATAATACATATAAATAATATAAATTATTTTTAAATTATAGCTTTATCAATAAGACTACTGTATAATAATATTTCACTCTGTTTTTTATTAAAATCTTATTTTAAGCATAATTTGAACTGATTATTAAACGTTAAAATGTAAATTAATAAACGAACTAAAAATTTAAATTATTTAAATTAAGGTATTTTATTTTCACGTGATTAACAAACTAAGATAAATTTACTTTGAAAAACGGTTCATATATATATTATGTTCTAAAATGCACAAATCTTTGCGTCATCTAATTAATCCATAAACAGAAAGGTTTCATATGAAAACAATAGTAAGTAAGAATTCTACAGAAAAGGACAAGACCGCATACCTTGGCTGGAATGATTACTTTTTTATGTAAACGCAAACAAACGAACTTACAATGTATAGTCTTTTAGTCTTTCTTTGAAGTACAAAAATGGAATAAAAATAATATTGCGCTATGTACTATATTTTCGATCATTTTATTTTTAGATGAATAATCAATACTATTACGGCATAAACATATAGATAATTTAAGCAAAACTTTTTCTTTATTATAAAAAATATTATTGGATGCTTTATTCTAGGCCATTAAATGCGAGTACCACAATTAAGTAAAATAACCAATAATTCATACTCTACCTTTTCTATGCTATTAAATTTCAAAACATGCAGACAGCATTAAAGATTTTAACAAATTTTCGAGGAGAAGTAATTTCGGATCACATATGGGAGGTGGTCAGTAGAAAAGGGGGAAATCCAAATTTTGGTCAAAATTTTTTTTATCAGTTTACTTTGCCAATCATGGTCATGGGAACAAAATTAGCTTAATAACCAAAAATCTTAAAATTTTTAAATTTCCCCCTTTTCTACTGACCGCCTCCCATATATTCACTCTTATTACAAAGGTCCAACGGTTAATGCTTGTGAAATTATGTAAGAGAATATCTAAAAGAGCAATTCAGCAAAATAGATATCCGGGAAACGAGGAGTTCGATAAAGAAATCAAAGTAGCAGCCACCATAGATTAGCCCAATTATACGTAATGAGAATACAAGTGTGTACTGACATTATGATTTCGCCACAGTACACAAATCTTGATCTACTGTGCACGTGGTTACTTTATGACATCAAAAATATGATCAGTCTCAAAAAATCATCATCATGACAAAATAGTTGAAATTGTTGCATCATCATCTAACGGGAAATCCAAGGAAAAAAATCTATAAATTGGAACAAAAAATTCTGTATCATTTAACTTAAAAAATTCTTTCTGAACTCTTAAATAATCTTCAATTGCATCATTTAACTTAAAAAATCCCTTCTGAACTCTTAAATAATCTTAAATTAAAAATTAAAAATGGTTAATGCCAGAACTTCTTATAAGACTTATAGAATGACTTCCTTACCACGTCGCTTATATTATAAGACAAAACGCGTTATTATGAAACCTGTAAGAAAAGCTAAAGGTCATCATACTACTGGTACTACCGCTACAGGCCCTACGAATACTCGCAAACATCCAAAGGTTCGTCATTCAAAATAATCAATATTTTTAATAAAAATTATTAATCTAATAATATTATATTTTTTAGTTATTCGGTGGATTTAAACGAGGTCGTACCAAACAAACCCAACCTGCTCATAACACAAAAACTCGTCGTTTTTTCGGATATACCCTAAGAAAAGATCCTAATCGCAACTACAATAATAATAATAATAATAATAATCGTAATAATCATGGTAATAATAATCATCATCATCGTACCATTAAGTCTAAACTTCGTTCTCTTTTACACTAAATTAAATTTTAATTAAATTATCAATAGCATCGACATCTCTTATTTTATTCATATAATTATGTAATATTACAATGTATTATATTTATCAATTATTTATAAATAAAAAAGATATTTTATATTTATTTATTATTCCAAAAAGGAAAACATGTACAGATGTACTGCTATTTATGGATTAGATCGATTTTTTTAAAAAATGTCAAAAACGTCACAATGATCATATTAATAATAACGTCAATATTAGATCATAATGATCCTAAGAAATTAATAAATAAGCGACAACTTCGTCTCCAAAAAAAAATTCATTTGAAAAATTCTGAAAAAACGAGAAAAAAAAACTTATTTATTCAGTAAAAAAATTATAATACAATTTAAAACATGGATCGTACTATTACCAAAGATAATAAAATAATTCCACATGATACAAAATATGAAAAACCATCACTTGAAAAAGTTGAAAAAAGAGAAGAGGAACGATTAAAAAATAAAAATGAAGAGGGGAAACCTAAAGAAGGTTTGTATGTTTGTAACTAATATATTTAGAAATTATCTTTTACTTACATTAAGAATTTTAACGTAGGTGGATCTGCTGGTAGAGCACAAGTTAATATCTCACATGTAACGGACCTTAATCCTAAACCACGTAGATCTAATACTTCATAAAATCATCATATCTCCTATTTTTCGTCAATAAATTATCTTAATATTTACAGTAGAATTAATCACTTTTATAACATTTTGCCATTAGTTAATTAAATAATATGCTAAATAATTCTCATTGTAGCAAATTATAAAATGAAATATGAACTATTTTCGAATAAAGTTACTGAAACATTAGGTAATATTAATACTATTGCTTTTAATAAATGAAATATAAATACATTTTATAATGGTAATAAGTGGTTTTTTTTACTTCAGATCTGAACAATTGCAATAAGTTAGAATTTTAAAGTTCCTTTATTTACTACTTTACTACTTAACTACTACTGTCTTAAAAGGATTTAACTGTCAGGTATAAAATGGTTTACATATTTACATACTTGGGATGTAAACCCAGGTAAAAACTTTTTCGATCTTTTATAATAAACATAAAATTGGCCTAATAAATAATAATTCTATACACTATTTTTTGAAATATAATATATATACATATTAAAGTGCTTTAAGAATGGCATCGGTAACTTGTTGAGTTGTTGAACTACCTCCCAAATCAGGGGTAAGAATATTACCTTTTCTCATTACACTATCTACCGCGTTATAAATTTTAGAAGCTTGTTCGGAATATCCCATATGTTCTAATAATAATCCTGCGCTACGAATTGCTGCGATTGGATTTGCTTTATTTTGGCCCGCGATATCTGGCGCTGATCCATGAACTATAAAAAGAACATTTGTTTAATATTAAATTCGAAAGTTTATAATGCATTTGATAGGTACCTGGTTCGCCAATTACGAAATTGTCACCGACATTTGCCCCCGGAACGACACCTAAACTTCCAACCAAAGCTGCCGCACCATCGCTATTTTTTAAAATTGAAACTGAATATACATGATATTCCATGTATTATTAAGAAATTAATGAAAGGATAGAAACCTGATAATATCACCATATAAATTTGGAGCAACAACGACGTCAAAAGCCTGGGGTTCCCGGAAAAGTCGATACCTATTGGGAAGTTTCTCATAAATACATTAATTATCTTCAATCTAAATCTCCGGATTATACATACACCATTGAATCAACAATCTGTTCATCCATATCTACGCCATCATATTTATGTTCGTTTTCTTTAACACTTCTGACACTTTCTCTCCATAATCCATCTGTAATACTTAATACATTAGATTTATGTATAATGGTAACTTTTGGTTTTGACTTCCAAATTCTTTGTTCCAATGGTACACTTTGACGAAGTTTGTCTCTTCCTAATGCCATTTCAAATGCCATTTTACCACATCGTTTGGATGCGTATTCAGATATTTTTCGATCTGCCCATGCTACTTTTAATCCAGTGGATTCATCAATTAGTTGTCTTTCTTGTTTAACATACTAACAGCAAATAATTGTGTTAAGAAAGTAAGTACAAAAATAAATAAATTATTTAATTTAAAGACAATTCCTACCAGACATTCAGTATTTTCTCTAACAATTAAAATATCTACGGGTTTTTGACTAGGATCTTTATCAGATATGACAGATTTTACGGGTCTCACATTCGCATATAGATCTAAATGTTTTCTCAAAGCCACGATAGGCGAAGAATAGCCGGCAACTTTATGAGATGGGGAACTGTAAATCTTTGTAAAATCAGATCGACAAAACCGCAACAAGCACGTGATTTGCATTTAAAATTTTTTTTTTTATTTTACCTAACGGCACCAAATAATGCACCATTACATTCATTTTTTAAAATATCCAAAGTTTTTTCAGGTAAAGCAGTTCCATGTTTTTGAAAATATTCGAAGCCTGCATCAATATATATAAAATTAAAACTTGGATTATCAGCTCCAGTTGGTAATGCCTCAAGAATTTGTTGTGCAGCCTATATTTTTTTTTGTATAGAAAATTTCAAATATTGAAAAATTTTATGTTTTAAAATTTTTTTAGTAAATATTTACGGGAATAACTTCTCTACCGATGCCATCTGCTGGTATTAGACCTATCGTTAATTTTTTTAAAGATTTCGTCGTTAATGACCGTCTTATTACATGAGTCATTTTTCAAGAATTTATTTTTCTCAAAAAAAAAAAAAAGAAAAAAAAAACCAAAACATAAACAAAAAGCCAAAAAAATAAAAAAATTATCGCAAATTATCAATATCTTAAAAATCATGTGACTGCTATTACAGTATTTTGATTGTTAATTGGTCAAAAAATTCAATAATGAATCAATATAATGCTTGAAATTATCACTAGTATAAATTTACCACGTTTTCGAAACGAAAGATTCTTCCTTTTTTTTTTTAAAAAAAAAAAATGGTTACTCCGGAATCGACAACCTCCTCAGAAACTGAAGAAAAACCTGCGATCCATACTTCACGCACACCAGTACTAACCATATACACAACATCAGAACAAAAATCATGGCCGAATTTTTCTTCACCTACAGAAAACACGAAAACTCCTTTACCATTTCCTTTGCCATTAAATAGAGAAATGTTCTCCACACCCGAATTTAATGCTGATAACTTTTTAGCTAGAAGACGTCATTTACCTTTAGATGAATTGAAGAAAGAGTTGATTATACATTTGAAAAGTTTGAAGAGCGACTTAGTAGAAATGATTAATAGGGATTATAGTAGTTTTGTTGATTTATCAACAAATTTAAAGGGGGTTGATAAAGTCATTGAAGAAGTTGCTAGGCCTTTGGGTAAAATGAGAGAAGAAGTTGAGGTATGATACGAAATTGGAAATTGTGAAGGATTCGAAGATGATTCACAATTTATTAACTTTATTTGTAGGGGGTTCGAATAACATTTCAAGGGGTTGTCGATTCATTGGAAAATCAACTGGCTCATCGAACATCTATACGTGAAAAGAAGGCTTCTTTGCAACTTCTTATTAATATTCATGAATCTGTGCGAAAAGTTGAAAGTTTATTGTTAATTAGTAGTGAGACTAGTTCTTCACTAGTATCAAAAGATGATAGGTATTTTTTTCTAATTCATTATTTCACATGTATTGTATTTAATTTTTTAATTCATTCTTATCGATAACAGTTATTTTTCTGTTTATTTGATTTATTAGTGGAAATAACGCGAAACAAATTGAACGTGTTGCCATCGAATATAATCAGATGCAATATTTGGTTAATAAAGGAAAAGGTTTACCCTTTGTAGAAAATATTGATTGGGTATGTAAGGAATTTATATTTATCATTTTTTTTTTAAATTTTATTAAAAAAAAAAAATTATTTTAGAGGATTACAAGGATCAAAAATACTCTTCGTACAAATCTTTCTTCAGCGCTTCGATCAGCTTTGCAGACTATAAAGGATCAATCAAATGCGTCCAAGGAGACATTAACTCAAATTCTTAGAACTTATGCTTTGATTGACCAAACAATGTCCGCAGAGGAAGTGATTAGAGAAGAGTTGGTTGCCCCTTTTATTCAAGAGGTATATATTATTTTTAATTCCTTTTTTTTACTATAAGCTATAATATTATTATTTATTCTTTTTATCGACTTAGACAGTTAAGCAGTCTGTACTTGAAAATCCACAACAAATTGCACCCTCTATTGTAATTGCATCACGTTCATCTGCTGGAAAATCAATGAAACCTCGTATGATGGCATCTTATTCAAAAGATTCTTTAGCTCTTATGTATACTAAGATATTGCAATTTATTAATAATGATTGTAACATTCTGCTTGAAATCACAAGAAAGGTTTTAAGGGGAACTAGTTTTGAAATTTTGGTGAATTCTATATGGACTGAAGTTGTAGATGCAGTGAATAAAAGGATATCATTTATATTTAATCTTGGAAATCCAAATATGTTTCATAAGGTAATTTTTCTAGCAAAAAAATTTATTTTCTTATAATACTAAATTTATTCATTATTCAAATATAGAATTATTCAATATCAATGAATTTTGTTTCAAGTATTGAAAATATATGTTATTCTAAGAAATCTTTATTATATTTGAGAAATCATTCTACGTACATGGAATTTATGAAAAGATGGCAGTTATCAGTATATTTTCAATTACGGTGAGTTTTTTGAGGTTTGTGGATGAAAAATTTGGTTTATTTTGATGTTTCATTTTTTTCCCCCTAATTTGAGTTTACTAAATAGTTATCTCCTTTAATCCAAAGGTTCAAGGAGATTTCAAATCAAATCGAGGGAACTCTAGCACTAAATGTATTGTCAATAGATAACAGCAATAATGACACACAATGTAAATAAGCAATATATTACTTTTCATTTATATTTTTAAATTTTATAATATATTTAATAAATTATGATGATAATATTAGATCCAACGTCCTTAAAATTACCGGCTAGTAAATCCACTATATTGGCAATAGAAAGATGTTGGTCTGAAGAAGTATTCATATATGGACTTTCACATAGGTTCTGGAAATTAACCTTACAGGTAAACATTGTATTTAGAATGATTTAAGGAATTTACTATTATAATATATAATACTCATTTTTTGCACAGTTAATAGAAAGATATAAGAAGTGGCTTACATCAACGTTAACGGAGTTAGTTGAAACAAATAATCATGTTCATGATAAATTAGTAAGTATTTAACTTATTTCTAATATTATGACTTTTTTATTTTAATTCATTATTTATCAAATATAGATGAATTCACCAGCATTAAGACCATCTAGCGGATCTGGAAATAGAAGATCTGGGAGCCCAGTGCAAAGCTCACCAAATAATGATGCATCAGATGAACAAGTATTAAGAAATTTGGTTATAGTGTCACATGATGTTGAGAATATAACTACTAAGGTAAACATGGTCTTATGAAGAGTTAAATGTATTTAGAAATTAGAAGTTTGAAATTATTAATAATTATTTTATGGTAAAGATTAAAGAGATATATCGTGAACATATTATAATCAAATTGCCCGAGTCCATGATAAATCAACCCATAATTGAAGGTAAATTATAATTTGATTCCCTTTCTTATCTATTACAACAAAACTAAATAGTATTTTTTTATAATAGAGAGTATTTCAAATTCACTTTCTTCTTTGCAATCTGATTTACCGGATTTAAGTCAAAAGATCTCAACAATTCTTACAAAGAGGTGTACAGAAGCATTACGACATGTTCGTAGTATTATAACACAATATCGACAACCTAATACAAAACCACCTACGGAATCTTCTTACTTTGTTCCGCATATTATGAAACCATTAGCTGCATTTTATGATTCTAATAAACTATACTTAAGTGATAAAAGACGAAAAGAGTGGAGCTCTATAGTGGGGGATGCTGTTGCAGTAAGGTAAATAATTTGATTTTTTTCTTTTACACAATATTTTACTTTATAAACTAATAAATTATTGTACATTAGATATTATACAATATTATATGAGTATCTTACAAATTTGAAAAAAACTGAGGAGAGTTCAAAAATTATGAAAATGAAAAGATTAAAAAAAGGACAAACAACGAGAGGAGGTCTTGTTTCTTTGTTTTCTGATTCAGGCGATAATGGAGTAGAAGATTCTACTGTTATGAGTGATGAAGATAAAATTCGATTACAATACTTATTGGATGTAAAGAAATTTGGAAAAGAGGTTTATACAATAATAAAATTTTGACAATATATTGTTAAGTTGATTTAATTAACGTAGTTATTATTTTTTTCTAGTTAACTAATATTGGAATTGATATTAAAGAGCTAAAAGGATATATTGACTTGTATAAAGTTGTTGAACCATATGGTAAGCTTGTTTTTCTAAATATTGTAAGAAATTTTTTTTCTTTTTGATTTATATTAATTAAAACTATAACTTTGTTACAGAATCAATTCAAAAATCATAACCATTTTCATAGATATATAATTATTATTTATTATAAAGTGATTTGTATAAAGTTGTTAAACTGTAAGTACGTTTTTAATATTGGTAAAAAAAATTTTGTTTTTTTAATTCATATTAATTTATAATTTTTAATTTAAAAATATAGAATCAAATTCAAAACATTATAAATAATTTATAGTTATAATTATTGTTTTATTAATCTTTTTATTTTTTTTTTTATTAGGTATATTTAATTTATAAATATTTGGGTGGTAATAATGAAAATAATAATAATAATATAAAAATAATAATCAAAAAAAAAATAGAATTAAAAATTAAAGTAGTAGAAGTTTAAATAAAATAAAATAAAAATATTTTTTATTTTAATTTGTAATAATTAGTTTAATAATTCTGATCCAATAAAGTATATATTAAATTATATTAAATATTTTTAATTAGTTTTTAGTTACTAATTAAACATCTAATAAATTGAAAAAAAATATAGGTATAAAATGCTTTTATTATAATTAATAATTCATTATTGTTTTATTGCATTTTTTTTTTGGAAAAATCAGAATTAAAAAGTAAATAAGCTAAAAATAAGCTAAAAAATTATTTATTATATATAGTAAATGTAATTTAAAAAATATCACTTTTTCAAATTTTCATATAATGTAAATTAAAATCTCAAAGAAAATTAAGAAAATTATTATTATACAGTTAAATCTTCACTAAAAAAAATTTTTGACATAAAAGCTTCAAAGGTGCTACAATTATTATTTTTATATTTACTCATAATCATTTGAATATCAGCAGCCCTTTCCATATAAGAATGTTGATAAATAGTTGAATTAATACTATTAATATTATGCAAACTGTTTCTAAATGCTTGTATTGCTGTCATTCTAACCAATGGCCCTAATACATTACGTGATATTACCATACCATGCAATAAAGGTCCAAACGGTGGTATTTTTGAATCTCTATATATATCCACGCTATATAATTCATTGGGTAATGGTGATATTACTATTTGTACATTACCAAAATCTCCTCCTATTGTACTTTTACGATAATCTCTACGATTTTCATTCCATACGATATGTACATGATCATTTCCAATATGTCGTTTCTAAAAGAAATGAGAAAGGAAACATATTAAATTAAAGAACTAGCTACTTTTATAATAAAGGAATTGAAATACTTACTTTTCTTAATTGTTTTGGATCATTTGGATCAGTTGGCATTTTGGTTGCATCATGAAATATTACTTCGATGGTTGAAGTGCAATAATAAACGGCAGTTAACCCATTTGAACAATTTCTTTCTAATCCGCCAAGATATCCAGGATGTGTAGTTAAATCAATTTCCCACCCAAGACTCTGTACAAACTCATTATATTTTTCACTTCCACTTGTATTGTGTAAAATACTTTGTTCATCATCTTGTCCAGGCGCAACATATAATAAAGCAAATTTAAATACTTCTCTTGCATGTTTTTTGTCTAATAATCTTATATCTCTAAATAATGTACTTCCTTTATTTAATACACATATTGTACCATCATTTAATGATTCTGGTGTTAACCACCCAAAATGACTTAAAAATAATCTACATTGTTGATATGTTTCTGAAGGTTTTTCAGCTACTGGTGGTAAAACTGGTAAAAATGACTTTGATAATGAAAAATCTGCCCCAAGTGATGAATGTGATGTTGATCGCGAATATAATGGACTTCTCGATAGACTATTAAAACTTTTGTTATCGTCTCGTAATGTATTATTTCTTACTGAAACAACAGTGTCGTACCAAGATTGTCTAGATAAAAATGAAAGTTATTAGAATTTTAAAGCAATTGAAGAAATATTGTTTGGCTGAACTTACGCTTGAGTGTTTATAGCCTTATCATAAAGAATTTCTTCTTGAACATGACGATCTAATTCTTTTTCAAGCAACAATAAATCACCTGATGTTGAACTTGGCGGGTATGTTTGATTCAATGTTGCAGATGACGTTTGTTCATCAATACTTTTTCATAACAGAACCAGAAATTAATACTTTTTTTTTTTAAAAAAAAAAGGGGGCAAATATAAATAAGAGTTTTCTTACTGTTGAAGTAAATTATCCAACATATTAACTTGGTCAGATCGACAATTTTGGGGCAATCCGTTTTCATCTTCGAACGAATCACTAGATTTTTTTCGAAACAATTATTTATCAATTCGACATGATAAAGAAGATTAAATATAAGTTTTAATATACTTACAAGGAAGAATTAGATTCCACTTTAATGTCTGATCTAAACATCATATTTTCACATATCATGTTATTAGATTTTATTAAATTATTTTCGGTGGAGTGCATATTTTCATAAAATAATTTAGAATCCCAAGAATATTTTCCTGTAAAATCTCGAATTATCATTCGTGATACTAAAACAATAAAATTTTTATTTATTATTTAATAATTATTAATTAATTAAGAGAAAATTTTTATTATTTTATTACCTGATGAATCTTTTCCTGGCATTTCAACTAATGTTATTATTGTTGTATCGTTAAATGAAAAATAATGATAATTATTTGAAGCCTCATCATCTTTTGTATCAGCTCCCATAGGTCCCACCAATGTGCTAAATTAAAGGATAAATAAATTTAGACTTACGGTAAGAATACTATAACATTTTGTTTAATATACCTATGCATCATAGCAGGCCCATGAATTGGTGAAAAATTGTCTAAGTGATGCGTTAAATGTAATAAAACAAATTCTGCAATTTCCTATTAAAAGAAATTTAATAAGTGGAGTGTTTCCGTGTTATAATCATAAATTGAAACTTCAAACGTTACATGTGTTTAAGAGATATGAATAGTAGTTACCTTGACGAAATTTACATCTTCAGCAGAGTTATCAAATCCAACATTAATACTATGATCATGTTCAAATACATTATCCAATGATACCTTTCTCTCTGCTTTTTTAAATTTTACCGGAAATTCATTATTTAAATGTTTTCCCTTATTCTTATAAAACGACATTGGATATTTTTTTTTCGGAATTTTATTTAATTCTAGCTATTGTATTAAATTAATACTATCAGTACTTATGTTTATAAACAAATAATGTTATAGTTACTTACATTTGAAAGTTCAAAAGCCATCTCGATCGCATCAAATACTAGTTGGCATAATTCTGTGTCTGTAAAGAGATTCGAAGGAATTATCATAAGCCAATCGAGTAGACAATAAAATATTTTGGCTATTATAAATCCTAAGTCAAGTAAGAATCGAAAGTTAATATAATTTTTTTTTTAAAAAAAAAAAAAAAGATACAAACCAAAAATTAAATTTCCTCACCTCTTCCGTTTTTATGTGATGCTTTTTGTAATGCAAGATGTTCATTCAATGATCCAATTAAATGTCCAAATACATCTTGTATAATCATGAAAAATACCTTGAAAACAAATAAAAAATATTTATTAATACAAAGTATTTAATTAATTGTATTATTATAAATAAATGACATACACTATCATTATCACTCCATAACGAAGAATTATGAGCAAAAGTTATTAAGCAATCTGCAGCAACAGTAACAACTGGTAAATGACTCCAATATAACTGTTCCAATAAAGCCTGGAGACAACTTTTAATAATTGTTTTGTCTGGCCTTATATACATGTATTCATAAAAAAAGTTAAGTTATAAATAATTTCATCATAAATGCTATAAATTTATACATTATTATATACCTACCAAGGAGTTGCCGTAAGTTCATCAAATGCGAGAGTACACAATCCATATAACAGCATATTATGTGTTTCATAATTGCTAATCGTCTCTTCATTTGAAAGTGCACTCAATAAAGTTTCTTGCAACATTAACCTTAACTATAAAGAAATTATAAGTTTCGGATCTATGTTTGTCATCTCTTTAGAGATCAACTTACCTCTGAATACTTTATACTATCTAATTTACTAAATTTTAATTCATTTAAATCTTCCACATTCATCTGGGCTAAATTCTTATAAGGTATGTCTGGAACCTGAAGAGAAGGCAACTGATTCACAATACAAATTAATGAACATAGTATAGTAATAGAATTATGTATTGTAATCTCCGAAGTATTACTATTATAATCATGTTTGGATAACAAATTCCGAATTGTCTCAATAAAGCTATAATAAAGAATATTACAACCAGGAAGGTTTTGAGAAAAGAGCTTTGTTGAATTATTAATAATTGCAAGGATTATTGAAGAATCTTGATCTGATAGCCCTTTTAACAGAGCACGATAAAAATGAGGATAATATTCCTCATCAAATTTTTCATGAGGACATGACATTATTTTGCATAATCCAGCATATGCTAATGCACGTCCTGGTGCGAATGCTCTGTTAGATAGTTACAATAATTAATAGCCTTGTTTGTAAATTCGTAACAACATATTAATAATTATAATTCTCTTACAAAGGTAAATTGCAAGCTTCAAATAGCCAGGGTGAAAAATCGAAGAGAAAAGGCGATGAAAATCTTCCATATTGGTGATTCCGAACCTATTATAAATAAATTAATCTTTAAATTTACTTAGATTCAAATTTTAACAGTAAAAGACTTACCAAACTAAGCATATCCACGATATCAACAATACATTTTATTGCTTCGGCGTGATTAGGTGAGATCTAATGAAAATTAAATTAATCTTTTTTTTCTTAAAATGTATAAATATGTATAACTTCATTTTTTACCTGAATGTAATTTAAATTGCCTAATGCAGTAAGTAAATTCTTCCATACTAACAGAGCATTTTCTGTACTCCATGATAACGCCTCAATGTGAATAAAATCTGGGCACCTAAAGTTAGCCAATGATACTGAAAGCTTATCCCCGCTAAAATTAGGTTGAGCAAAAAACACTGATGATGATGATGTTCGATTCGACTAACGTAAGAAAATATACATTGATTAATCAAAGTTCAACAATGAAAAATTCAATTTAGAATGATTACCTTCACTTCTGCTGCGTCGTCCGCAGCAACCTCACTACTGGCATCAAAGTAATCATCATCGTCGCCTTGGTCTTCATCATCAGATGCAATGCTTTCAGAATGTATGGATGATCCACCACTGAACACTGTTGTCCCAATATTTAATAATAGTGTTTGCGATTTTGATTCAAATGAGCCAATGTCTTGATGGATACTCATTGGTCTGCGACCTGATTTTCGGCTCTCATTTACATTCTTAATAGAAACTGAGAAATCAGTTCCCATTATTTCCTCACGCGATGAATTACTGCCTGAGGATTTATGTCGATATGCACCGCGTAAAGACAAATGTCGGGTGCGATTTTTTGAAGGACGTCGTCTATGGAAATGTCTCTCTGGAGTTGTCGAAATACGACGATTTAATTCAACAGCATCGAGGTCTACATGATAAATATTCTTGGATAGTACCTTTGTCATTCTTAACATAATTTTCTGAAAAATAAAATTTAGGATTTAGCGATAAAATTCACATACATAAATATAATTGAAATTATCAGCAACTAACCGCCCATTGTGAAACAGTTTGCGACCATCTCAAACTAATGCTCATTCGGTTTGTTAATGAACGCCATAATTCTGGTTGTTGAACTTTTGATCGAGCAAATGCATATAATACTGTCTATTAAAATAAATAGTTCCGACATAAATTTTGGATTCTTAATATGAATTCTAAAACACTTAAAATCACATACTTCAACTAAATAATCTGCAAGATCATCAGCCAACGTAACTGAAGATATTAGTACATATTTGTTAGATTGATTCATAATCCTCTCTTGTATGTCCAGAAGAGAAGAAAGCAACGTTTCCCTTAATTTTAAGATCAAATTAGCTAAATATTTTTACATTATATTAAAAAGAGAGAGAGAAAGAATCATTAATCTTATAGTTTACCATGTAGCTGGTTCTAATTCGATAGGGCCCTCCGCCATTATTGAGCGATACAATGCTAGCACATCTCGGTAAATAGAAACTTGTGCTTCTACCTCAACATTTACCATTCCACCATCATTTGTTAATAAAGAATGATCTTCAAAAACGAGTGTTAATAATACAATATATCTGCGAAGGTAAACATTCGCATTAGCATACGTTGAGTTGAAAGAAACAGTTGACGGAGTAGTAGCTGGTGAAAATGATGGCTCGCTTTGATATTCTGGTGATGGCAACGACGTGTAAGATGAAGATGCAAAGATAGAAGAAGAGAACGAAGAATATGCAGAATGTGACGGTTGAGGAGAAGACGGTGATTTACGAAGAAAAACCGGTCTCTCTTCTTCCTATGATATCAATTCACAAACAATATAACAACTAAAACTGAATTCTAATCACAAATTCTAAAATTTACGAAGAGCAAATTTGGAAAAATATGTTTTTTAAGTCGAAAATGTCACAATACTAACCCCACTTAATATCCAAATTCCCACAATATGAACAGCACCTCTAACTATATCTTTATACAGCGGACTGCCAGCTGGTAGCATAAGAGCTTGTCTTACAATTTCATGAGCGAATTCTCGATTTTCTGCACCTAATACAATCGACTTTAATATCGGTGTAGCGGGTGAGGGATGCGAGGATATTGCATCGGAAATAGCCTCATTGTTATCAAGACAATGATGTATCAAGAACGTAATAAATGCACGCAGTATTGAGGGCGGACATTTTTGAAATCCAATTTCTTTATGAAATATAAACATGTCAGTAAAAATAAATAATAAATAATTAATTCAACATTTTAAAAGAGACTCATAATATTGCCTTGATTTTCAGGTATTAAGTAAAGTTTCTTTGCACATTGAGGAAATAATTTTACTAAATATTGTTTTTTTGTAAGTTCAAAATGAAATTTTGCTGCAGCGAACGCGGCATCAATTCCCATTCCAATAGCTATTCCATTATCTGGTTCAATATTTTCATTAACAGGAAATTCATAATTTTCTGGAGGAGGAGTTGAACCTGCTGCAACATGAGCTAGTTTAACAAGACTACCAAGATCCATCTGAATCAATTGTAATATATCATGAAATGTTGGTGGATGAGGATTTGGGAACAAAGGACCTCTATCATCAGCTGTAAGTTAGTAGGTTTAGTTACTTAATCTTAGAACGAAAGCAAACATAATATATTAACGTTCTCCTATTATACTTGCCTTTAATTGATATTTGTCCAAACGAAATAGGCCTATTAAATTTCCTCCACGTACTTTCTTTCACTTGATAATCATCACTACCAATTCTTATTTGATCATGAAGGAATAAATCCAAAGAAATAGCATTTGCATATAAATTCACACATTCTGTAAGTTCTATTGTTTGATCGTTGATCCATAATAGCAAAAGTTGAAATCCTTGTATTCGAACTCGATGATGGTTTCCATGATCGAGAAGATGCTTTAACATTTCAGCTTTTAAAATTCATTAAAATAAATTAATATTTTGCAAACTTTCAGATAATTATAAAATTGATAAAATCGCTAAAATACCTATTTTTCCACGCTGCCATCCACTCCTTATTCGATCTGGTAAAAATAAGAAGACTTTTCGTAATAAAAGTAGCGTCTTATTTATATTTAAAAATTCTTTTGATGAAAATGACATTGGACGTTCCGATTTTTCTGTAAATACAATTTTCTAAAATAAATTTCTTAAAGCCTTTTTATAATTCAAACAATAAATTTTTTCTCACGTTTTATTTTATCGACTTGGCCCATAAATGACTTGTAAAGTACATCGAAAACATCTTCAGCATGTTGTTGAAAGAATTGAGCTTGATCCAATTCATTCGTAACATCTTAATTTACATTATTTAAAAAAGAAGTTACAAAAAAAATTATTAAATAATTAGAATTAAATAAAAGTAACTGTTGAAATAGAAGTCTAACAATTAGTATATATTAAAACAATAAATAAAAATAAAGTCCATCTTAAGATGTACTCACCGATAAAATTCCATAAAGAAGTAATTCTTGCTTTTGACCTTTGTTTATGATCTAGAAAGTTTTTTGCTTTCTTAAGCAATTTTTCCATTCGATCATCTTTAGGTACATTCTTATTATCTCTTGTAAATAACGATGAATTCATTTTCCTTTGTGAAGGAGGCTTATCACTATTATTAGTTGATTCACTAATAACATCAATAGACTTAACTACAGAAGAGTCTTCTTCATTAGTAACAGATAACGGAAAAGAAGGATGTGTAGGTGATACTGATATATTATGGGTACTATGCGAACTAAGTGGGCGAGGTGGTTTATTTCTTATTATATTAATAATTCCTTGTGACTGTCGTTGTTCTTGATCTTGTTGTTGAACCTGTTGTTGCTGTATTTGTTGTGACTTGTGTACTTGTGTTTGTAAATGCTGTGAAGTACTAGGGCTTGCTTGTGGTGTGTTTCGGGTTAATATTTCAGGACGGGGTATACTTATTCCAGCCAAATCTTTTGGTTGACTCGGAGTTGAAACTGAAGCACGTCTTTTTACTATCTGGTTGATAGCAGTTGCAATTTTTTTGGTAGTACTTGAAGTACCATCGCCACCACTTAATGTACCTCTCCTAGGTTTTCTAATGGATACACTACGCAGTATCGACGTTGAACTATCTTTGCTTTTTGTTGACGAATTCTCGTCAGCGTCCATTATCTTTTAATATGTGGAGGTGAAAGTTATGCTTGTGCTGCTTATACACGTTTAAATAGAAATCATTTATGCATGCTGATGTCAAAAAAAATCTTTTGCATATTTAGTTACAGTAACATGGTACACGATTTGTTGTGTCACGGATTCGATCAAGGCAAAATTTATGAACAAAAGTTTTTGAAGAAATTAATTGCTATTATAAGTTAAATTCAGATTTTTCTCCACGCCGCCATTTTTAGTCTGAAATCAGAGATAATAGTATATTAAATTAAATTTATTTATTTTTTATTTATTTATCTTTTTATCCGATCTTCAAATGATTTTAATTCCAACTTCTTAAATAATACAACAAATGATTTTATCACGACTGACCATGTTATACAAACTTTACGAATATATTAAATAAGATCAACTCTTTTTTTTTCTTAATTTGTCCATTCTCGTTACAGTTAATATTTTAATTTTAAATCCTGCTGCATTATGAACGATTAGAACAAAATGTTTATTTCTCATTATAAAACGGTTCGTTATTTCATTTAAAATTTTTGTTATTTATTAATATACGATCTTCTAATAAGTTTCAACTTATTTTATAATTTATACATATAATACATATATTAATTTTATGTCATTAAATTCAATATTTTCTTTAAAGGATGGGTAAATCAGACTAAAATCTAAACCTGCACTATTCCTTTTTTAGGAACAATGCAATTCCTAGCGCTTCTGGAAAAAAATTTATAACGTTTCTACGATATTCTGCAGTAAATCATATGATCTTATAACAAAACACAAAAAACGTTTATATTTAATGGTGAAAAAGAGGTCTACCACCTTTTATTTACTTGTACTGTATGACCTCGTGCAGAGAGATGAATTTGTGACGATCGACGATCAATTTCTTTTAAATAATAAATTGCGTTTGTACCCTATGACTGAAATATTCAGCACATTGATTTTCAATAACCAAACTTTATTTCTTATTGGTAAATTCATAGATCTGCTAACAAATTCTATGTACAAATCGTTAAAGGGTTATAATTATATAAATAACATTAAAAATTAGCAATATATTTGATTATTAAATAGTTAAAAAGTACTTTAATCAATAAGTTTTTTTAAAAAAAGTTAATATAAAGTCAAGTTTATTTTAACAATTTTAAAAGTTTCATTTTTCCATTCTTAACTAAAAATTTTTGATATATATTATCGGTAAATAATATTAAAATTAAACAAATTATACAATATTTACTTACAAATCATTATAAGTTTGCTCAAGTATTTATTGCATAAAACATGATTTCTTATTTATATAAATTAATTTTCGTTTAGAAAACGTATAAACGGAGTAACCACGTGATAATATGCCCATTTTATCTGTCACGCAATTATTTGTCGCCGATTAATTTCTTAATGTTATAATGTGGACCAAAAATCACCAATTCGGATTAGCTGAAATTAAAACTGGTAAATCTGTGGCCAAAAACGAATCTAAAACGTATTTCATAATTAAATTACATAATTATTTATGTATAACTGTAATGTTGTCAGTTATTTCTTGATTTAGTAATTACTCATTGGAATCACCTTATCAAGATGAAAATAATGGTAGTCAACAAAATGTTAAAATTTGGTATTTTAATTGCACCACTTAATGATTTGCTAAATAATTTGGTAAACAGTAGTTATAGAAAAATAAAATAAAGCTTATTCGAATAGTTTTATAAGATGAATTGAATAATAGTTACTTTATAAAAAAATAAACAACTAGAATTTATATTATATATATTATATAATAGAACTTTATTTAAAACTAAGAAATTATATTTAAAATAAGATTCAATTAAGTTTTTATTTATATTTAAAATTCAAATATTCATTTTAATTTATTTTATAATAAAGCCATTCTAATAAATAGTTTTATTTAACATCAATCCTCTTTCATTTTGCCAAAAATTGAATTTAAATAAATATTTTATATTAAATATTATTGGTTAATTAACTTTATTAGTTATATAATTTTATATATTTAAATTTTATTATAATTCTTTTTTTTTTACTATATAATATTAAATAAAACTATTTTGTGCTTGACTGTTGAAATAGTGCTTTGCCTTCTCACCCTTATCTTTAGTTGACTTGCAGTTTTATTCCTGCTACTTTGATTCCTTCTTAGCCAAATTTTCTCTTAGCAAGTGGTCTTTACAACTCTGACTTCTCTATTACATAAATTCCATTTCCATCTTTATGTGAATATTTGGATTTGCTGTTCAATTTTCTTTCATCACTAAGAACTTTCTCAAAGGATTACTCCTACTATCATAAAATCTTGTCCTGCTTCTTTACCATCTTTTCAAATCTTCTCTACTTTAATTGATCACTCTTCTTAGGTAACAGTCTTCTCAGATTTCTGGGTTTCTTAGGTTTTCTCTTCTATAATTCAGGATGGATTTTAAATCTTGCACTTGGATTCTGCACCACTTAACAGTTCAACCTTTTTGTCTTAAGATTTCTCTCTGACAGGTGGATTTGTGATATATATACTAGATAGTTGACTTATACTGGCCTTTAGGTAAAATTAGGGTATGTGATTCTGTAATAATTTAGTTTTTCTTTTCTTTAATTTTATTTTAGTTTAAATTTCTTTACTTGTATGAATCGTAAAGCTACTCTTTATTTTATTTTTTGTTTTATTTTCTTATTTTATAATATTGTTTAATCTTGCAAAATTTTTCAAAGTTAAAGTATAAATAAAAGTCATATAACTATTTGCAAAATTAAATAAAACTATTTGTTAGAATAACTGCAGATACTAATACTAATAATGTAAAAGTACAGGAATTAATATAAATTGAATTGCATCATAGTGAATTAGTATGTATAGTTAAGCAGAACCCCAAAAAATACATATGGAGGTCATAAATAATCGGCAAGATTTTGGCCTAAAATAAGCAACTTTTCAGGGTCGGAATTATGATAATGCTGGCCAGTATCAAAACAGACAATAAAATTTAGGCCAGCATTATCTAAAAAAGACAAGATTTTCATGAAAATTTAGGTTCTTTTTAAGCAAACTCAAATGTGACCTTTTTATGTATTTTTCGGGATCCTAGTTAAGCTGCATACTATTTCAATATTAGAAGTTTTAGTGCCTTATCCTTAAAGTTGCCTGCATATTTTAAATGGATGGTTTTGTTTTAATAATCACTTTATAATATCATTAAAATATGATATGTTTTATCGAAAAAGCATAACATACTAAATAATTTGAAAAGAATCAGAATAAAATGGATAAGTCTTTATTAATATTTGATATATAATAAATGGCAATATTAAGCAAAATGGAAATTAATCGTAAGAAAGGATTCAAGGATAACATAAAATCATGAATGGTAAATCTATTTCTATCTCTCTTTTTATATATAAGGTTTAGTATAACATTTTTACTATTAAGTATCAGTTAATTACTGAAGGAAATAAAACAACTAAATCAATAAAGAATTAATTATTATAAATAGTAGTGAAAATGAAAATGAATTTAATATAAATAAAATTATAACTAATATATCTTTTAAATTTTAATTAATTATTATAATTTACAAATAAAGTTATTAATAAAGAAATTTTATTAGCTTATTAATACTTCATTTTAAAATTATAAATTAATATTTATTATAATAATATGATATATTAATTTAAAATTTTTTTTTATTAATTTAATTAGTTTTACTAATTTTAGATTAATTTACCAGTTTCAAATTAGTTTTACCAATTTTGGATTAGTTTTATCAGTTTTGTAGTTTTGGAAAATAAAAAAATTTCAGAAAATAGTTTTACTAAGTTTTAGTTTTAATAGTTTTGGAAACTACTAAGTTTTGGGCAGTATTTTATCCATTGATATAAAGTATATTTTGTTAAAGTAGTTAATAAAAGTTTATTAATAAAAATATTATCATTTTAAACCTTTTCATATTATTGAACTTGTATTTTGCTTATTATTATTGACTTAAGCAAGGTATTTCACATTTTGTTTATACTGCTTATTCTAGGTAAAATATCTCTCCAGATTGTTTTTAATCTAGAAGATAAAAAATTACAAAAAAAAATAAGAATGAAAAAAATAAAATAAAACTATACTAATAACTGCATTAAGTTTTTTTATCAAGTTTAATTTGAAGTATAAGTATATATTTAAATAAAAAATAAAAGTTTTAAAGGTTTTAAAGAAAAGATTTTTTTAATACATAAAAAAAATATATTAACTTTTTTTTTTCTTTAGATTGCCAGATTTTTTAGACAAATCTAAACTTAAAATACATGCAAGATTTCCAGTAAATTAATAAAAGGTGAAGTTTTTTTAATATATAGAAAAAATATAATTAATGTATTAATGTTTCTTCTTTTTTTTTAAAAAGATTACTAAACTTTTTAAACAAACTTGAACTTAAAATATACAGTTAACTCTCCTATATAGTCAGTCACCTTCTGTATAATTACATTATATATATTTTGACTCAATATATTAATAAATATATTAGAAAAATCTTCTCTATAGTCACAATATATGGCTTTTTTTTATAATTACACCTTTTTTTTCAGTTTCGAGAGGTATGACTATAAAGAAAGTCAACTATATATAAGTTTAATAAAAGTAAAAAAAAAGTTTTTTTTTATATTTAAAGATTTAATATCTTTATTAATAAAAATTATTCTATTACAATAAAATAATTTAATATAATAAAATAATATTATAATAAACCATGTTGTAAAAAAATAATCTAAGTCAAAAAATTTTTCAGTATTACCAAATTGACCAAATTGTACCTAACTACTTTAATTATAATAAAGTTTTTACTACTCACATATTATTGACCAAATAATCAAATGTAAAAATTCTCTTATAAATCTTTTTATCAATAGTATGAAAATTGAAAAAAAATTTTGTATAATTGCAGTGCAGTAGATTTTATAGTTTACCAAACAAAAATGTTAAGGCAGTGTTAAGGCTATATATTAAGATAATGCATTTCATATGTTATCTATCTGATTAATCACTATAACACCTAATAGTATACATATAAGATTCCATAAAAGAATAAATTAATAATATAACATAATTTATAATTTTTTTATTTTTATATAATTACTAATATTATACTAATAAATTTGTGAAAAAAAAAAAATTACAATATTATAAATTATAATAAATTAATAATAAAAAAAACTGAAATTTTATTTCAACTTTTATAATTTATTTTGATTCTTGTAATTTATTTCAATTCTATAATTTATTTAATTTTTATAATTAAACAACTATTAAAATTCATTTCAATTTTATATTTTGACCTATAAAATTTTTGCTAACTATTTTAATTTTATTATTTTCATTTTAATTTCATCTATAGTGAGAAATATTATTCTATTTTTAGCAATATAATAGATCGACTGATAGGATTTCAAACAGATGCAAAAATAGAGTGCCAAGTATTTTAAGATAGAACTGAATTAATAGCAAATTGAATCTTATTTACTGAGCCTAAATTTATCTAATAGTATATATATAAAGTATTTTTACATAATAAGTAATTTAATTATTAGACTTATTACTGGATTATTAAATTAATTAATTTGTATTTTTTTTTTCTTTACAACTTTAATAAACTTCTAAATACTTATTAGAAATATTTGCTGATTAAGTAAAATATAACTTCCAAATATACTGCAACTATAAAAAATATATATATATACAGTATATAACAAAAAACTAGAATTTTAAATATATAACATAAATTAGTCTTACACAACCAATTTGTGTCTGATTTGAAAATCTAAAAGTGGAAGATTGATGTGATGATTATACTAATAAATTCTGACTTTTGATCAGGTATATGTTTATTTGTTTTTTTGAGTTACTGCATCAGAATCCCGAATAATACTAATATAATTTACAAGTAAACTTTAAGTACTGAAGTAAAAATATATTTTATGACATAACTCTGTCAATATTAAAGTTAGGAATTCAATTTTACTATCATTAGAATTCTCTCATCAAGACAAATCTAATGATATAAATTTTATTAAAATTGAATCACTGGTTGTATTAAAAACAGGGGTATATATGATAATAAACTTTTAAAAATACTTTGTAATATGCAACTTTTGAAAAATTTTAATATAAAACTCTATGCAAACTCAAATAATGTGAGTTATATCAGTACTGTATTGTTCAGGGTCTTACTGCATCATAAAATAGTAGTATTAAAGTAAAAAAAATAATGACAAATCATTTTACAACTGTGAAATAAAGAAATATGTAAAGGTACTAAAATTTATAAGGTTATAAATATCCCTTTTTTCATAATATATGATAATATTAAAAAGTTAAATAAAGATAAAACAATAAATCATAAAAAAAAAGTAGTCAGCTAAAAAAAATTACTGGTAAATTTTCAAATTCTCTTGAGCAAAGTAGTATTTGAAAAGACACTTTAATCTTAACAAGAAATTTAGTTAAAAAATTATGCCAATTGGGCTTTGAAGTATTTTATATAATAGTTTCAAAGTATTTAGCTATTTATGAATATAAAAAATCTCTTTCAAGGGTAACTTCAATGCTTATTGCTATTTACAAGCAAAAACGTATTAAATAGATGTAGTAATATATTAATAATAACTGGAACAAAATCCTATTTTTAGATGAAATTACCTTTTAACTTTTTCAGAATACTGTGAAGCATTAATATAAGCTGATACGTCTATGTTAAAAGATAGAGTAAAGATTTTTGCATAGAACAAATTTTGTGTAAATAAGCAAAACAAATTTGGTTTACTTCTGTTAAATAATAAATGCTGAATTTTATATTAAAATCCTTGAAAATCACATTTTAAAAATTGATATAATGCTTGATGATGATTGGTAACTTCAGCAGAATAATGACCCAAAATATACAAGCCATTTTACTAGAGAATTTCTCCAAAATAATACTCCAAATGTCATAAACTGATCTTTAAATAATTCTAATCTAAATCTAATAGATAAATTATAGGCAATTATTAAGGAAAATGTGAAATGCTAAATGCCAAAAAATCTCAATAAATTAGAAAGATTTATAGTGAAAAAATAAAGAGCAATTCCAGATACTATGTTAAAAATTTCACAAGTTCAATGAAAAGCTTATTATTGAGATTATTGAGAATAAAGGAAAACAAATCTTTTATTAGTTTATTTATATCAATCAAAATAGCTGGTTTTCAGTTTTCAAATAAAAAATTTTACACAATTTGGTATTATCATCATGAATTTAATTTTAGTTTTTTTTTATTACACACTGTAATTTAAAATATTATAATTTATTTAATTTATATATAATTTACTATATAAAATACTAAAATAATTTGAAATGTTATAATTAAATTTGGAATTTTATTTATAATTATAGCAGTTTAAAAATAATTTGAATAGCATATAGAAACTATTATAACAAAAGATAGTAATACTTATTTTGAATTTTTATTAATTTTTTACAATTATTTTATTATTCAATAATTCAATTTAAATGATTTTTTTTAATTTTATAACTTTTATCAAAGGTTATAAAAGAAAAATTTTATTAAAATTAAATTATTAAATAATTCATATATATTTAATTGTAAAACTACACCAGTTACTCTTCATATAAATAATTTATTTAATGCAAATAATACTATCATTTGGTATGTTAATGAGTTGCAAACTATGAATAATTGCAAAAATTAATGAAAATGCAAAATCAGTATACTTTTTACAATAATTTTTATATATAACTTATAGTATATTTTATATTAACTATTAATTCTAAAAGTATAAAATCATTATCATTAAATTTATCTTAATAAGACAAATTTAATGAATTTAAAATTAAATTATTATTTAAATTTTAAAAATTAGTGTACTTTACAAATTTTGCTAATTCATATAAAATTATATTTGTTAATCTTATATTGAATTTATAATCTAATGTAATAATATTAAATTATTTAATATTATCAAAAATAAAATACTTGAAAAGTATATTACAGTAATAACTAATAAGATTATTAATCAACTATATATTTTATAAATAAAATTAAAATTATTCTTATAGCAAATAAAAATGGAATTCATTAATAAATTTTTATTTTAATCAATACTGATTAAGTTGTAATAAATGTATTTAACTTAATTTTTTTATTTTAATAATATATATATATGTAAGTTTTTTTACTCTAAATGTGTTTAATAGTGTTTAATTACCTTCTATATAAATTATATATAATATATATATATTTCTTTTTATATTTTTTATTATACAAATTATATAATATCTTATTCAATAATATCTTTTTTTAAGTAAAATTAAACCATTATTTAACTGCAATTTTCAAATATTTACCTTATAGGATCTATTCTGATATTATATGCAATATACTATGTGGTATTATATTTGATAAATTTTTATTTAACATTGTTTTTTTTTAAAAAAAAAGTTTTTAACCTTGATTCAAACTTTATTGAGTAGTACCAAGCATCTATATTGTATATATTGTATATATTGAAAATACTAGTATTTATTCAAATTTTTAATTTTTTTAAAATATATTAATTTTACTTTACATCATAACAGATATTCTATAATTTGTAAAATCAGATCCTGCACCATCGGGGATACATTGTATTTAAAAATGATTTGTAAATTTCTTTCTACAATCATCAATATCCAATTGATCATATCAGAAAGAAAAAGTAAACAAATCGGTAAATGTGGAAATCAATAGCAAGATAATTGCGATTTATAGAGCCAGTAGCCTTATCTTGTGATGAGAACAGTTTCAATAAATTGATTTATTACGCGATGGATAAATAAAATCGAAGATCACAACTTTAAATAGGACTTTTAACTTATCAAAGCTTTGCTCATTATATTTACGTTAACGGTTTTTTTTTGGTGGGATCATCAAAAATTACATACATATATGATTCTCCATTATGTTAATAGGCATACTATATAGTAATAGTGCAATTCTTCAATGAGAATTTTTCGTAGTGATTATCAGTACTTTTGTTATAGAGGCTCTTTTAAAGGAGCAGTGACATTCTTTTTTTATTTGATATATGTTTTCGCGGAGTTCCGAGTTTCACGTTTCAATTTACTACTTTTGTACGACGATATCATTTGACTAAATTTGGTGTAAGATAGTCAGCTGAAATTTGGAAAAAAAATTACTTAATGTTTAGCAAATTAACAGTTAAACTTTTATTATCCGATAAGAAAATTGAAGGTTTTAACTAGATAATGCAAAGTCGGATAAGAAAAAATATGTAATTATGAACGAATCTTTGATGAAATTCCCTTCTTCGTACTTGTATACATCACGAGTCTATCAATCTATTTTCGATAGTTCAAAACTTCAGATATTCGTGCATTGTGTATATCTCCTGTGATACAATATCATGCAAGAATCTGTGAATATCAAATTTAGTAGTCAACAAAAAATAGATATAGGAATCTAAATAAAAATCTGTACTCCAGTACAAGTAAAATTGCATGTGCTGGTTGATGTGTTCTTGAAATTGCAGCTGGTCTTCATATTTCATTCCAAAAATCTTTGACGGTTCTTCGAAACTTTCATCTTTTTGTTCCTTTTGTTTGCTTTTATTACCGTAATGAGTACGTCAGAATTTTCGGTAGGTAAATTTTAATTGATCATTCATTGATTTAAAAGTCTGAACTTTAATTTTTTTTCTCCAAATTTCCAGCCTCCACACGTAGCGGTGGAAATTCCAATGGAAGGAATTGGAAGTGGAAGCCAAGCCGGCCCTAGCACTGGTGGTGGAGGTCAAAGTCTTGGCGAGTTTTTTAGAGAAGTAAGTATTAATTTTCATAATTTAGTTGAGACGAATTAATTTTGACTAACTCTTATTCATGTAGATATAATGACAAAATAAATTTATCGCATTCGAATTATTAGGTAAATGCTATTCAAGAAATGATTCGAAATATTAAAGAGAACATGTCAGGAATCGAAGCATTACACAAAAGAATGGTCACGGTAACAGATGATGAGAGTTCTCGTTGAGCACCGTTCCCAATTTCATGTTTTTTGCCTTAAACACTTTTTATATTATTACTCATAATACTATTATTTCCATTTCATAATAGGAATGTCTCGGCAACTGGATTTGCTAATATCAGAGACGAGCCGTATAGCAGGTCAAATAAGCAATAAGTTAGCGGGTAAGATAAATTTTATACGATTATTTTTTCAATGATTTGTAAAATTGATGAGTGTATTTAATGCTGTCTAAATTTAGTGATGGAACAAAATAATAAAACTTTAACAACTGGACAAGATCAGACACAAATGCGTTTAACACAGGTATTTAATTATTATAATAAATTAAATAAATCTTTATCATTTACTAATATTTTGTTTTTTAAAAAAACAAAGCACGCGACGTTAGCTAAATCATTTATTGACACAATGACAAATTATCTCCGGATGCAAAAGGAAAATGAGAAAAAATACAAGGAGAGGATTGTAAGGCAATTTCGTATAGGTGTGTGCGTTAACAAATATCTTTATGTGTAATTATAATTTTTATTTACTTTTGCTTAATTTAGTAAAACCTGATGTCACGCAACAAGAAATTGATCAGTTGTTGAGCGAAGAATCTGGGCAAATATTTACCTCACAAGTTGTTCTTTAATTTTGATATTCATTTTTTTTTTTGAATCTCGTAGAAATTCTTTTACGAATTTTAGTCAATTAAATTCAGGTTCTATCAAAAACACAATCAGAACAGTCGCGGTCGATTCTTACAGAAGTTCAGGATCGACAGAGAGATATTTTAAGAATTGAAAAATCAATTAATGTATGATTAAACAAAAATTATTTAGTATCTCATTTTTTTTTTACATTTCCTAATTATTGATATTTTCATAAAAGGAAATAAATAAAATGTTCGGCGAAGTAAAAGCGTTGGTGTTAGGAGATGATATTAAGGCAAAAAAGATATCAGATACAACAGATGTCATACAAGACAATACGAATCAAATAGAACAAGATACAACGCCAACAATAAAAATAGCAGGGAAAATAAAGAAGGTAAATGGTACTTAGAATTGTTTTTTTTGTATTGCTTTAATAATAATAGATTTACTGATACTTAATAAAATCATCATTTCAGAAAAAGTGGAAATTACTTGGTTTAATATTACTAATATTAATAATTGCCGCAATCGTTGTGCCGACAGTCTTACGCGTTAATACATGATAATAATTAATTATTTGCTTTATTCATTATTGGAGGTCTATCTGTTGGCTTAATTTGTATTATTTTAATAATGTATTGGATTTTTTTTTTCAATAATTGTAAAACTTACAATGAATAAATGTAAAATAATTAGATGATAAATTTAATACGTATAATGTATTTAAGTATTCGTTAGATTATCATTTATTAGAATAATAAAATAAAAATTTTATGTCAAAATATTATCAATATATAAAATATTGTGCATATATATATACATATTTTTTTTTTTTTAGATGCGCCAATCACTTCACGACAATCTTTCCCAGTTATATCATTGGAATTTTAATGAACGTAGATGCGATCTAAATGGAGCAATTTATTAAAGGCGTTTGGACAAAATAGTAACACGCATAGAATTATTACTCGTTTTATTTAAATTACTTACATTTATGCAATAAAAATCTTTTAAGGTTGTTTAGATGTGTTTAGATGTGGGGTTTAAAATGCAAACATTAAAAATCGGAAAATTTTGATATATTTCCGATTTCAACCCTGGGATGAGGCTATTCAGATTTACCATGTTTACTATATAAGGATTGAGTTTTGTTGATTTTAATTAGAGTGATACAATCTGCGTTAAGGGCCAATTGGTTCAAATTTATTACACACTTTTTTTTTTTAGTCTTATACCGTTAAACAAACAAATGAAAAAAAAAGTATAAAATAAATTTCTTCTTTTGTTCTTGATAACTATTTTTAATTAATCAATCGGAAGGTATACAATTTTTAGCCGGATATCAATGCGTTAGTTTAAATAGAAAGATAAAGTCATTTATCCAACAACATAATCAACATATCAATTAAGAATTCAAGCTATGAAATTGAATGATTTTGAGTTACATACGTAAAAAAATTTTCAAAAGAACGCTAGTTATGAGATGCAACTCGTGTATAACTGTTGGAATTTATAGAATTATAAATTATATTATTACCTTTGAAATGTGGAAAAAAAATTACGCGAGACGTTTGTGGGAAATCTCACGTGATAATCGACGCAGGATTATAATTTTGGCTAGTAATAGGAGCATAACTGCGTACTGCGTAACCCCTCCTCTGAACTCCAGCATAATATTAACTATTTGATTCAATTTAATGATATCATTATAAAGAATTGGTTTCAATGTTAATCCCAAAAAAGAGATGATTTTTTCTTGTAATTCCATATTTCTTTGAAAAGAAGTTTATTTTTTAATAAATCTGTAAAATAAATCTGTAAAAACGATAGTTAAATTTTTTTGTGCAGGATCGCGTAACATTGATAACAGGTAAAGCTTTAATAAACTAATTTAACTAATCAAAATATGATTTTAGTGTCTAAAAAAGATCAAATTAAAAAAAAAAGAAATCTGCTTAAAACAGAGGTTATTTAATTACGAAAAATAAATTATAAAAGAACATAAAATTCCATCTTCCAGAAAATTTCAACTTCGTGCATAAACAGAAAAAAAAACCAAATAATTAAATCTTTTCAACAATGAAACCAAAATATCTTTTTTTTTTACTATCGTTGTTTCCCTAATCCTTTTCTTTCTCTCTTCTTTCGCAATTGCTATTCCCACGACTGAAAATTCTTCTATTGGCTCCATTGTAAATTTCGAATCTAAAGCTCCAAAATCTGCGCTCTCACCAATCCTGTTGAAGACGATAATAAAGATGACGCTGAAGCTCAATTCGGGTACTAATTTACTATCAAGTTGGCAAAATCATTATTTCTTAACGATTTATACTAATGTTTAAATACGTACACATATACATAGATCTCATGGATACTATCCTTACTATCCTGGATATTACCTCAAGTACTACTCTGGATACTATCCTGGTTATAGATGGTCATAGCCTTATTCTTATTGTTCATAATGGACGCAGAATTATGGGATTCGGTATCCTGGTTTCCCATATTCCAGAAGGAATGAGGATTAATCGTGAAATTTACTCATGATCAGTGAATAAATAAAGATTTATATACATTTGAAATAATAAAAATAAGTTTATTTGAATGTTATTTGTCACGTATGATTTTTTTAATATCTGCCACAAAATAAAGTTTGGCGCAGTATTGCTGGTGACATCCGCTACGATATTTTTTAAAGTTTTTATTAGTTTAACTGACACCAGAATCTTTCGTTAAATATATTTTCACAATTAAAATAAGTAAATAATAAATAATCCATGATAAGTTTACTCTATATTAATTCACGCAGTACAAATATAACAACTTCTATTACAATCATAATTGTATTTACACCAGACTCATCATCTCAACTCTCAACTCTCATCAACTCTATTCATCCTCAATTATCAACTACAACTAAAATAGCTAACATATTCACCCAATTTAATCTCGATCAAAAAATAAGAAGAAGAAATATTAATATGATGAACCGATGAGAAAGAAGAGCGAAGCGGTCAAAATCTAATATACTTTACGTATGTATCCTAATAAAAAATTTTAATTAGTGCAGAATTCGCTGATTTTTTCGTTGAAATTATTATGTTATTAAATAAGTATCTTTATGCTATTTTTAGTTGTATTTTTATAATCGTTTTGATATTATTTCCCACACTTTTACCAAATTTATTTTTCACTAAAGCTGCTGTAATTTTTTACGTACCAATATATGCGCAGTACTTGATTATCGTACTTTTTTGGAACACCACTGATTACCTCGAAACCAATAAAATGATGATTCTAATTGGTCAAATCAATTTAAATCTTCCTTTTGGGATTATATCATTAATTACATATTACAATTGCAGATTTGTCTGATTAACATTTATTACATAAAGAAAATGACGGATTGCGTTCTGCAAAGACGAAAGATAATATGTAAAACAGGGTATTTAAATTTTATTTCGTATAATCATGTACATGATTAATATTGTTAAATAAAGAAGCTATTTATATATACTTGAAAAAAAAGGTAACCAACAGTTAAATTTTATTATTGGATGATTGGTCTAATAGCGGTTAATCTTCTGAACGCGATAAAATTTACAATTTTTATTATAGGATTAATAAAATTATCAGTTATCTTCATAAGTTCATACATAATTGTTATTTAGGTCGGTTATATTCTATGTATTAGCATAATAATAAAGTAAAGAGTTTATTATAAAAATTGCATGAACGGTCCCGTCAATAATAAATAATGCTTTAGAAAATACATTAAATTATATAAAATTTGCAAAAATTCAAAAAAAAAAATAACCTGCAGTTTCCTATTTTTTTTTTTACTTTATTCAAAAAAATCCCATCAGATTTCACGATGATGAAATGATTAAGCAAAGTTTCTGATTCACAAGATTTGTTTAAACAATCTCATGATTGTTCATTCAATTTCAATGGCATTAATCGTATTAGTTTATTTGCAATGATTACATAACAATTCGTTAGTATTCACTAATTGTATCTATTACATGAAAATTTTCAAATCAACAATTGAGGTCTGAAACGGATTATTCGGATTTCCTGTATATCGACTGAACGAAATCATGATTTAATTCTTATAATACAGTTTTATTTATATAGCTGTTATTCACATCCGCCATATCGAGAATCCGGTATAGTTACAGTAAGAGTTAGAAGTGCTGAGCCACATGATTTCACGACTTATTACAATTGTAGATTCATTCAATAAATACAAAACGGTCATTGAGAATGATATTTAAGGCTTCGATTGTAGTAAAATCTTGAACTTCCAACATTTGTATAGATGATAACATAATATGCATAATATGCATAGTTTGATATAATTTTTTCATCTAAGAATATTATATCCACATTTGGCATCAAAAAAATAAGCCCAAATAATATATCAATTCACCATTTAGTATTCATCATTTCGTATGCACCAAGTATTCCAAAGTTCGGCCGATGATGATGCAGAATTAGATTATTTTAATTCTTCTAATATTCGTAATATTTATTGGTAATAATATTATTTTATTATTTTTATTATATTAAATAAAGTATTTTTTGTAATGCTCTAATTTTATAATTATCTATACTTCTAATAAATTTAATTAAGATTTTTCTGAAAAATAATATTTTTGAATATACCAAACGAGAGTTTGAGAAAGATTATTACTGAAATTCTCTCGTAACCTCTTATTTCCAAGTCTTAAAAATCTAGGTAATCTAAAAAGTGAGCAAAAAAATCGTATAAATAAAATTACAAAGTTACTTTTACTTTCTTAAATTGTCACTTACTCTATTTGTATGGCATCTACAACTTGTTCATTATGTCTTGAGCCATATCTTTGTACAGAATAACCTCCATGAAAATATCTTTCATTCGGCATTGGAAATTTATGCGTATGCGAAGGGATTGTATCATATCCAAGACTTTGTAATTTTCCGCCAAGTGAAGTATATTCCCCTCTTAATAATTCTGAAAAACTAATCATGTTTTTCATACGAGTGTATAATGCTCTTATACTTGATTCTGAAGCAATTTCAATATTGTTATCTAATACAGTGGTGGAAAGTGATAAAATTTCTGATGATAATACATATCCCAATTCAATATAATTTTCCGGATGACCGTGACCTATAAAGAGAACATATCTACTTTATTATAATATTTTTTTTTCTTTTTTTTTTGGAGAAAATCAATTAATTATTACAAACCGTGAATGTCAATTAATAAACCACGTCCAAAACGCAAGTCAACCTCATCAATGGCATCTCTTATAAAGGAATGATAATCATTCCATACAATTTGTGTTTCGTTACTTGTTTCAATTTCAACACCTTCTTTCAAAGGACGATTAACGTCAATTTTACTCCTTCCCAAATGATTAATTACAATATATGGCCTTCTTCCATTCAATATTTGCATAATTCTTTTAGATAACGAGTGACCAATTTCCTGTGTATTTATATCATTAGATTTTACTATTCCTGGAATGTTTTGTTTTCTATCAGGAATTTCATCCGGAAACAAATGACCTCCGTGAGGTATTGAAAGTATTAACGGAATATGTCCTGGAATAAATTCAGTAAAGTTTTTGTAACCATATGACGATGGTGCCAATAAGTAAGATATATCATCAGAATTATTCGTGGTAATTATTGATTTTGATTGAAAATTTGAGGTTGATATATACAATATAAAGATTAAGAAGAATACTGTTATTAAAATTAAAATTCTAGGATTTTTTAGATGTCGCGGCATACTATCAAATATTTTTCAGGATCAAGATATTAAAATTTGTGCTTTATTCAGTAATAAAGAATGTTTATTATAATATTAAAGATTAATAATTAAGTTCTTTACTAAAAAGAAAAAGATAATTAATTTAAAAAAAGAGGAATTTCTTTAATTTCTTTTAAAAAAAAATGATTGTTTTTATATTTATAAAACCGGTTTAAAACATTCTGTGTAAATTAAAATGCTCCCGTTATGCAGTTTATTTAACGCTAATCCATTAAAAGATGCCTATTGTAACGGAGTACAAAAATTTTTCAATTTCTATAATTTCTATTAATAAATACATTTTATTACATTGCTTTTAAATTTGTTATACAAACTCAAAAATACTTATGATTATTTTAAAATATACTTTCATTCTAATATATGAAAAGGCATTTTTTCCTTTACTTTAAGTTCAAATGATTTCCCGCTTTTGAATATTTCAAATCCATATTATCAGAAGCGACGTGCTCTTTACAGTTTCATTGTAATACCAAACGGTGTCGTGTAATGTTACGTTGTTTATCAAATTAGAAATCCTTAACATAATTTTTTACATAACTAAATCATAAATTGTTAGTTAAAAAAAATTATTTAATTGTTTTATTTCTAATTACAGTAATTTTTAGCAAGATTATCAACTCTCCGCCTTAGTGTCAGTAAAATCTATTCAAATTTGTTCATATCAAAATTCTTGTGTATCGAAACACAATCAATCATTCTTTTGTAGCCACTTATTGTTTGTCATCAGATACTACCAAATCAGTGGATATAAAAGGGCAACACGGAACACACATAAGAGTTTCCGGTTTTTTTTCATAGACAGTGGAATTGAGAAAAGGACTATCCGTGATAGTAAATTCTATATTTATTCACAAAATAATGTTCCGTTATCTTTAAGAGAAAGTAATTTGGCATTTTGGACGGTTTTTTTTTTTTTTATTAATTAATATTCAGAATAAAAAATGTTTAAATCATTAATGAGATTTAAACAAAAAAAAGACAGTGTTTGCGCGAGACCAGGTTGTAATAATCAAATTAAAAGAGAAAAAAATGGAACCGAATTTAATTATTGTAGTTCAAGTTGTCAAATGAACCACTATTCCCCTGGTTCAAGCGAATTTTATGATGAATTTTTGGATTCTCCGTCCCATACTCCAACTTCTTCAAATCAATGGGGAGTTTGGTCACCTAATCAAGAAGACTCACCTCCTTCATATTCCACTCTTAATAACGACAACGATCTTTTTGGTTCTATTGATAATGTTCAAGTTACACCGCTTTGGGAAGCTGAAGATGATCCTCCTTTAAATACTTCAAATTCTCGAAACTCTCGAAATTCTCGAAATTCTCATCGTTCTTCTTCCCCTAATCTGGTAGATGATTTTCCACTTTGGGTGGATTCTCAAGTCGACCCCTTATGGACTCCTCCAAATAGGAATACTTCAAGTAGGAATACTTCAACTAGGAATACTACTTCAAGAAAATTTTCACCACCCGCGACTCCTCGATCAAATAGTCCTTCGGATGAGGAAGAAATTCATTGCCCACGATGTACATTCTTTATTCGTCCAAATAAGACATCCTGTGAGATGTGTGGTACAAACATAACTAGACAGGAACCAAAAAGAAGTCATAATAAGAGCTCGTCAAAACCAAAATCTACTATAACATCTTATCGCGATTTGTACGAAGAGGATGAAGATGAGGACGAAGAAGAAGAAGAGGATGAAGATGAAGATCCATTTGCAGATCCAACACCAAGACGAAATAATCGATCTTCTTATTCGTCGCGGGATAACTATAGAAATTCATCATCATCTAAATCGCGTAATTCAGATGATTATGATGACTATATTTTCGATAATAATGAATATTCTCAATCGCGAAATCAATCTTCTTCGCGTAACCGTAGGTCGAGTGATAATAGGTCTTCTTTATATCAATCTCCAACGCCACCAAGTGACGAACTTTGGGTTGACGAAGATGAAAATTATTTTGAATCTATCCCACCTCGCAGAAGTACAAGACAAAGGGCTCCACCTAAACCTTACACCCCACCTTCCTTTTTCAAAGACACGGAGAGTCGTCCAAATAGAAATGTGCAAAAACCACCTACACCTCCTTTGAAGGAGAAACAGGAGAAACAAATTACATGTCCAGCGTGTAATTTCGACAATCATCTTTCGATGACTCATTGTGAAATTTGTTATACCCAATTAAATAAAACTCCTGAACAGGATAATAAGAAAAATCCAAATTTTAATCGAATAGAACAAACGCGAGCGAAAAAAGCATGTCCAAATTGTTCTTATTATAATGATGCTACCAGCGTTCAATGTGAAATGTGTTATCGTCCTATGGAAACTATCCGTAAATCAATTTTTACATTACCTTCCTTCTTCTCACATGATGTTAATATGACACAATGCCCAAATTGTACATTTATGAATCATCACACGATGGCACAATGTGAAATGTGTCGAGGCGAATTACCAGGTAGCAATCTCAAACAGCAACAACAACAATATCAACAATTTGTTGAAAATATGCCAGGACCCATAACTAAATTAATTAAATTGCCGGTGGATGACCACGATTACATGACTGTACAGTAAGTATGAATAATTCTTACTATTATAAAAAAATAATTTTAATGACAAAAGAAACTTTTTTTTAGGCAACATTTCAAGACCGGAGTTCAAAATTCAACCATTTTAGCAATTTTCAGAGTAATTATGCCGGAGAGAATAATTAAAGCACATGAAGCATACCAGAAGCAACTTGCCGGTAATAATCCGGTAGCCAAGGTTACTCATCGTATGTATCACGGCTCTCACGTTGCTTGTGATGCTAAACGATATTATGGACCTTCCGCTTGGAATTATTGTAACGCGGCTGATTGTGGTTTATGTGGCATTGCTCAAAATGGAAATATTTGCGCAAGATCAAAATATGGCGGAAGTAAGTGTAATAAATCAAAATTAATTTATTAATCGAGTAAATATCGTTAGAATGTATATTCATTTTCTTTTATCGTAATTTTAGGAATGTGGTTTGCAAGCAGTTCTGCAACTTCTTTAGGATATTGTAGAAACGATCCAATTAAAGCCATGTTTGTTCAAGAAATCATATCGCAAACTGGTGGAGATGTTATTATTGTTGATAAAGAAGCGGTGAGACATCAATATTTTTAATTTAATTTGATCAACTCGGTTAAGCATAATTAATAACTATATTTTTATTTTAATAGGCAACGCTTGTGAAATTCTTGATTATTTTCCAATAAAATACATTGTATAAAATTTATATGTACAGAATTTAGGATGATAAGCTTGTATTTCTTTCTTTGTATTTTATATTTTGAATATATTTTTCCAACTTTTTTTTATCGTTCATTAAAGTATTTCTCTTGATACAAATACAGTAAATAAATAGAAGATATAGGATATATTTTTATATAATTACAATTCGATTTTACGTTCATCGCATTTACATAAATCTTACTCTTAGCATTATAAATCTAAGTAATCTTAGTCTTCTGACAAATATTATATTACCCAGTGAGATCGAGGTTTAAAAGGTACAAGTAACTTTATAAATTTAAATTATATAATGGATGACGTATTAGCTACTCCAGCAAAATTCACTATTACGTGACAATTTGGCGTCAGTTGCACCCAAGTGACAAATAATGGGGTGACGAATAGTTTGTGTGGAATCATAAAATAAAAGAGTAATGTGACACATTTAAATTCTTTTTTTGCAATGCATGAACACATATTTGCTATACCATTATTTATCATAGAAATATTATATTTAATTCCATAATGTCAAATTTGTTACATATTAAAGATGTTAAATAGTTCTATTTACTCCTAGTATATGGTCTTTTTTGATCAGTTACCAGATAGACTGTGGTTTTGGATTATATGTAGTATAGAAGGATCAAAGTAAAGACTTCTATAATTTAATCTTAAATACTGTATCATTGGTTAGTTATTTTCTGATGTAACAATAATAGAAAAATGAAATACAATTTGTTAAAATCATCTTATTTAAATAAATCAAATGGTAATAGTTTACCTTTCTATCTTTTGGGTTTGTAGAACTTTACAGGTATATTTGCTTACTAAAATCATTTATTATTTAAAAATTTAATATGTAATGCAAATCATAATGAATTATATACTTTTAGATAGTTTTAGTTTCAAACTTTATATTTATAGCAATTTATTTTTTACTTAAATAACAAATAAAATTTACTATAGAGCATATAGGCTAAATAATTTCATTATTTCAAATTTTAAAATTTTACTTAAATTTGCAAATTACATAGCTCTTTTTTAATAAATATCCTTTTATCATAATTTAATGATATATTTCAGAATTTTATTTATTATTAAATACATTATGTTTTAAAGTTATGAGTGTATCAAATGATCAATTTCTGAAATATTTATAAAAGAGTATATTATATCCCTTACCATTTTCTCTAAAACCTATCTTAATATATATATTATATACTCTACTTATTTTTCAAAATTTGCATTTTTAAAATGTTAATTTCAACTGGTAAGTTGTAGCTTTTTTTGAAAGTGTATGAAAATTATTGAAATAGCAGGATTCTGGATATCATATATATAACTCATAACTAATCTGCATGAATTTAAGTACTTTTTGCTCCTGCTAAAATAGACCTAATTTGCTAAAAATCAAATTATCACATTTTAAATCTATACTAATTTGCTAAAACTTAAAATATGAGTTATAGTAAAATTCTAAATAATATAGATTTAAATTTGCTTAATAAAATATAATTTCAGTTTATTCAAATTATTTGTAAATCAGTAAATTTAATTGTTAATTTACCAAAATTAACAATCTTTTTTTTTTATTATCAATAAAAAAATAAATGATTAATATAAATTAAACTGCCAATTTTTATAATTAAAATATGTAGATTATAGATAAAATAATAATTATTAAAAACAATAAATTAAATATAAATAGTGCTCCAAGACCGGTCTTCAAACCAGTTTCAAACCGGTTTGGCCTAAAGAAACCAAGACCGGTTTAACTAATTTTTCCTTTTTAGGTAGATTGAAACCGGTCTGACATGTCAAACCGGTTTAAAATCTTATTACAGAGAATTTTTTTCAAACCGGTCTCTGGTTAAAACGGTCTGAAACCGAAGACCGAAAACCGGTCTTGGAGCACTAAATATAAATAATTATTAAAAAATAAAATGTTACAAAACTAATCAAATGTTTTGGCCTACATTATGCTTAATTTTGGCCAGAATTATACTTAATTTTAGCCAAAATATAACCCAGATCCTGAAACTAATATTTTTAAAAATATTATTTATAAAGTTAAAAAAAAAGAATAAGTTAAATTTAAAAAAAAGTACCAATTTGCTCAAATATAAAATATGACTTTGTAAAATCAACACAATTTGCTAAAACTTATAATTATAACTATTAATTAATTTTCAATTAATTTGCTCTATCTAAAATTATGAGTTTAATCTAATTTTGATTGAATTTGCTAAAACTCAAATGTGAGTTTTATATGTGATATCTGGAATTTTGAAATAGTTATTATTTTTTTTTCTCTCTTTTTCTCTTTTTGGAGTAAAACTCCTATTATAAAATTTGCTTATTTTGAAGAAGGAATTAGCTATAAACCTTCCTTATAATAATTTTAAAAAGATTGAAAAGTTATCACTTACTCATTTACTTGCTTACTTGCTTACTTACTTATTTACTCATTCACTTGCTTATTCACTTACTCATTTGCTCACTTGTTCATTTACTTACTCATTCACTTATTTACTTACTAATTTTTTCACTTACTTATTACTTTATAACAATTATATATTAAGGTTGCAAAAACTATAAAGATATGGAAAGTAGTTATTTCTTAAACCTTATGTGTTTATACATATTATAAAAGTTTTTTTCAAATTATAAATAATATATATGACTTGTTAAAATTTATTAATTATCTTTTGTAATTTTATATAACTCTATAGCTTCAGGTACATATAATTCATTTTAATATTATTCAAAATATGAGTATTTTTTTTATGGAATAAATAGTAAAGTTTACAATAGACCACTCATTAATTATATTATCAAATTTTCAGAAACTTATAAATTTGGAATAAAGAAAAAAGTATCATACCCAAAATTTTTAAATTAATTAATGATAACATTAAATATTGATTTAACGGTAAAAAGAAATGTAAAATAATATTTAATTTTAATTATTGAATATTATTATTTTAATAATTTTAGGGTAAGCCTAAAATCTTTTATCTTTCTTTCCTCCCTATAACTCACAAATTTTTTTTTTTTTATTGATTTTATACTTATACTTTTATAATGTAAGTAATAATTTTTATTTCCATTTATATTTGAGAACAACCATCCATTGAGTTGATAATATTTTTATCATGAAAAATTTGAGAATGATTGATACAAAAAAAAAAATCTGGAAAAAAATTTATTTATTTCACTTTTGCTGTTTTTTCTTAATATTCTTTATTAAAGAAAATAAGAAAATGCAATTTTTAATAATAAATTATTCTAAATATAAGAGGAATTAAGATTAGCTTTACTTAAACAGAAGAATATTAAAATTATGATTTTTTAACAACTTTCAACTCTTTTATTAACAGTACAAAACATTTTAGTTAATACTAACTGATATTCTCCTCAAATCAATATTTTAAACAAAAGACAAAAAAATGCTTTACCAAATTAATGAGAACAAATATTTTTTTGATAGAGATGGAAAGTTAGTTTGTTATATTCTTTAGTACTAATAAAATAAAAAAATTATATTGGCTAAGTTCAAAATCTCAAAAGAGGAACTTACAAACAAATTAGATTTTTAAGAAATAGTAAAACAGTAATTAATTTAAATACCATAAATCAAATATTATTTATTTTATTTTAATTAAATATTTTTAATTACTCAAATTTCAAGAATTCAATTCATTATGGTTAAAGTAAAAATAATATTCTAGTTTTTTGGAAATATCTAAATGCAGTAAAATAAGAACATATTATAAGTTATTATAAAAATTCAGATAATATTAAATTAATTGAAAATTACATTTATAATAATTTAAACAAAATATTCACTATACTTTTATGATTTTTAATTTTAAACTATTATATTAAATCATCATTAACAGTATTTAATCTATAGCAATAGTTTTTACTATAGACCTATCAAAAATAATCTTTGAAAAATCCTATGGTTACAATAATGATTTATTTAGTATACTTATATTGCAATTTATTTTTAATATACAGTTTTTTGTAATAGATCTTATTAACAATATGTATAAAAAATTCTTCAATTCTGTAATTTTAGTAATGTCTTTTCTATTATTTTGATTAAGCCCAATTACTTAAAATGATATTTATAGGAAAATTTTGATTATTTCAATATGATAAAAATAAGAAATACTTATTCTTATTACCAATTTTCAGATATTAAAAAGGCTGATATTATTATTTTCCAATAATTATATTATTCCATATGGTACTAAGCTTAAATTTCTTTTACTTAATGAAGTATTTGCTAATACCAGAATTTTAAAGTTCAATTAACAGATAGATAAATTTTCAAAGTTTAGTGAGTAGGAAGATATTTTTCATATTAAAAACTATATTAGTAATTTGATAAAACTTAAAAATAATGAATATAAATATATTTATAATCATTTTTATAGCCAGTTTCATCTAATTGTTATTCTTATAAAAGAGATTATCATAGATAATATATTTGCTAATACTGTTAATAAATATTGGAAGTTGATAACTTAAAATAAAAACAATAGGTAATCATTATATAAATATCTAACTGATATTATTAATAGGAAGTGATTTAATTATATGTAAAAAACAAATATTCTTGAATTATATAAAAGTATAACTTTTGCTTATTATTATTCTAAAATACTATTATAAATGACAATAGTTAAAGTAATTTTATACATTTTTAATCAGTAAATCTATCAATTTCCTTTTAATTGGAAACAATATATGATATTAAAAATATATATACTGTAAGTGTAATTACAAACTTAATATTTTTTACATATTCAAAAGTGGATACTTTAATTGCTCTTATAGATAAATCCTTTACTTTTTAGATTACTTTTAACTTTTTTAATAACTATAATAGTCTACCACTGGTCAAAAATCAATATATCGGGTAGCAGATATGTATCAGATATGTACCCGATATGTGTAGTATTAATGCAGAAAATCGGGTACCCGATATGTGTAAGATATATGTAAATATATATATCATATACATATCGGGTACCGATATGTATATGATATGTAAATGATATGTAGACGATATATATATTTACACATATCTTACACATATCGGGTACCCGATTTTCTGCATTAATACTACACATATTGGGTACATATCTGATACATATCTGCTACCCGATATATTGGTTTTTGACCAGCCATTGTCGACGTACATACCTTACTCATCTTTACCACCTCCGACCCTACACGTTTCACATGACTCCGGAACCGATTGGTTGAAGAACTCGATGAAATATGGTTTGCCTTGGTTTAATCACTTTTCGGGTTTTATGGGTCGTCTAACGGTGCTACTTAATAACAGCTTTTGCAGG